TCTCGGCAAAGTGAAGTGTACATCCACAACAGCACCAGCAGACCTGCCAATACTTCACCATCTGGGGCAGGACAGCCTTTGGAACACCGGCCATGGCCAATGAGAGCAACAGGGACACACGGTGGCATCCTTGTGCTTTGGTGATCCCTCCTGCGGACTCACGCCACTTGAGTCCTTCACCAACCAAGGCTGTGGATACCAAGCTTTCCTCTGGCAGGCGACTGAATGCACCGTCCTTGTAGCTGGCATCTATATGAAAACTGGTGAGACCTTGCAGAGCGACACAAACGCCACCATACTGGCCAGGCTACTTGCTCTCATACACTCCTTGGGGATTGGCAAAACAGCCCAGGCAGTATCACCAGCACAGTATTGCCATCCAAATTTCACTTTGAAGTGCTTGCACCCGGACCACAGCCTCCTGTCGGGCAATGTAATTAATCAATTATGCCCTCATCCATAGCCAGCTGGCCAGCACCACAGCCCTCACGACTGACTGGGCCATCCCATGGAGGCCTCACATACCAGTTCAACATTGAAGAAGCCACCAAAGAGTACAGGCAGATCCAGTACTTCCCGCCTCTTCCAGCTACACCAGACATTGATTTCAGGCCCTGGTCAACATACCAATCCACAGCCCATGACTTGGAGCTCTATGGAAATCCACCCAACGAAACAGCGCAACAGTGGGCAGACTGGGTGTCGTGTACAGAGCAGTATCTCCTCCAAGAGCATGCCTGGGCTGCCCAAGGCCGGGAAGCAAGCCTCAGGGCGACGTTCAAGCCACTGGCGCCATGCACCACGGTGACCACTTGGAAACGAGGCAAACCAGCTTTCTGGGAACAACTCAAGATCCGCTTCCAGCTAGCCCTCAAGCAACCACAGCAGCAAGCGAAAGGCCCTACAATGGGTTTCATGCAGGCCATTCATGATGCACCCAAACATTGGGTTGGCCCACCAACATGGGGACAATTTCTTGACACTTGTCACCATTGGCACAAATACAAGGATGGCCACGCTGCGGATTTGGTCCACCACACCATTGGGCACCAACTTCAACAAGCCCAACAAGCCGCCAATGATGAAAGTCACCTCCAATACAAAGAATGGTTGCAGCAAGGCCATGCCAAAGGGCTCAAAGGACTCTTCCGCAGCCTTCGAAGCAGTGACTGGGAACGACCGTACCGAAATCTGCCACCAGATGAGAGGATGACCAAAAGGTTACAAGACTGGGGACACCTCTGGACGATCAGACAAGATGACCAGCCACATGAACGACCGAGTCTGCAGGAACAGGCCAGGCAACAAGCGCAGCAGCTCGAACCACTCACCATAGGACACTTGACCTGGGTGCTCAAGCACCTACCTGACAAGGCCTGTGGACCAGATGCAGTCACAGCACAGCTACTTCGTACTGCGCCACCACTGGCTGTCAAGGCACTGCTCAAGCCGTACCAAGAGACGGAGGCACAGGCGCAGCCGCCCACACAACAGCAGACGCGCACGGTTGTCACGCTCCCAAAAAACAGCAGCAAAGAAAGACCCATCACCTTGACGTCGATCCTCTACAGAGTTTGGTGTCGACTCCGCAAACCGTTACTTGATGAATGGCAAAAGCAGTTGCCTGCCAGCATGAACCACGATCGAGCAAGGCCAGGAGCACAAGTCCTGTATGTGGCAACGGCTACTACGACAAGAAGTACACAGAGCCAATGGCAGACATGGACATCCAGGCCTGGCCACAAGTAACTCCCAGCCCTTGAAGAAGCGTGGCAGCAGACATATCAACAACTTCAAGCCAAGCAATACCCTTGGTACAGTGTCCGTGGACCGCTGGCAGCCACCATTGTCTACCTCCAAGAATGGGGCTGGCAACCAACCGAACTCATGCACTGGATGAGACCGGAATCCAAGTTGTGAGTTGCACCTCCAACAACCATGGTGGCAACTTGAACGGGCACTCACCCAAGAAGCCCAATGGCAAAGGACTTCACGTTTGGCCAGCAAGCCCCACTATCAGGACCTCCTCACCGGCCTCGACTGGCACAGGCTGACTAGCCAGGATGAAGAACCGCTGTGGGCTCATGGATGGATTCCTTTAGAACCTCAAGAAGCCCGTACACAACCACATCCCTACCAAGGGCATGGGTGCTGGGCCGGATTGTAAATAGACCACTCCAGCAGCACAGTGGATAGGCCTTCACGCTGGATGCCACACCATCCTCCTACGACCCTCGCAGCCAGCTGTGGATCTTTGGACTATGTGCCCACACCATGGCACTTGGCCAACTGCGAAGACTGGGCACCATCACAGGAGTGACACCTGGGGCCCAAACCAAGGTTCGGGCACTCCGCCCTGGCCAGACACACTGCAGATCAGGTCAAAGTCATTGTGCAATTGGCCACTGTTTGTGGCGCCAGACAAAACACCGCACACCCTTCCTGGACATCCTTGCTGAGGTACCACCCCAGGACTTCAACAGAGTCACGGTACTATACATCAGCAAAAACACCAGAACCCCAGATGCACCAGGCAATGAACCTCAACTACGACGACGACAAAGGGACTCTGCCCTGGCAGCTTGGGAACGAGCAAAGACTCTTAGAGGAATGGCAAGAAACACTTGATCAAGACCACAAATTGATCTACCAGCATGCAGTGAGCAGAATCAGCAAGATCTATGAGGACAACATGCACTACATCCACCAGAAAGCACCCAGGCACCAAGGCAAACAGACAAAACAACACAAGAAGGACCTTGTGAACATGTGCCGCAAAGCGTGGACTGACAACCATCACCGATGGGAACCGCACATGAGGAGTGGCTTTCACTGCACGGCCTGTGGCACAAGGATGCACCAAGGGCTGACAGCAGAACTCCTGGAAACACGACTCAAAGAAGACTGTCCTCAGATGCTGATTGAAGACACCCACCAACCACCAGCCATGCGCACAGCACCGCTACCCAAGAAGCCAACCCGTGCCCAGCAAATCAAAGAGATCCTCGACAAGCAACCAGACCAGCCTGCACCAGGCCAACACCTGCTGGCTGAAACCACGGGATACTTGAAATTTACCCAATGTGGTATCAACATCCACAAAAGGGTCAACGAAGCTGCCTTTACGACCTTCCTTCAAAGTCCATGTGTGAACCAAGAGTACCAAGCAGACCATCCCGGCCACACCAGTCATGCCTTATGGCAAATTGGGGAGAAAGTCAAGCGCACGCAATGTGGGATCCAATGGAACTTGGATGGACAACGTCGCCTCATAGCCACCCAGGCCTTGCGTAAGCCATGCAGAGGTGCAGGCACCAGAGGCTCTCCGCCACTCAGTGACTTCTTCAAGAAGAAAGACACTACAAGCAGCCAAAGCCAGGGGGCACCAGAAGCATCCGCTACCCAGCCAACACCTAAGCGGCCGAACTTCCAAACCGCTTTGGATGAACAAGAACAGGAAGATCTCAATCAAAGGCTGTCTGCACTGGCCATGAACCCCAGCCAAACAGCAGACGATGACACCTTTGGTGAGAACACCATTGGCATAGAAGTTGACTACTTCTGAGGGCTGGCAACCCACATGGACAAGACCTACTGAAACTGCGGCCAGTGAGGCAACATGGCAGTGAGGCAACATGCCTGGCAAGGCTAGAAACCCGGCCAAACGGCCCTCGAACTCAGCCACTCTAGGAAAAACATACATACATACATACATACATACATACATACAAGCAAAACATGACATAACAAAACTTTACATAACATAACAGAGTGAATTTTGCTTTTTACATATCACAGATCAAATTACGATACACAGAACATATCATGTTACATTGCATAAAACTTTGCATTACATTACAGTACATTACATCTTACAATACATTACATTGGCATTATATAACATTGCATTAATGTTGGCGCCTGATTAGTAAACGGGGGCCCCCCCCTCCCCTCAAACAAACAGGAGGTCCTCTATAATAAACTATCACCAAAACAAATCTGGATTCCTGGTGAGGGATCTTTTGTAATTGATTGTAGTATTCATGTTCCTTTCATAGATTGTATTCAGCTTCCTTTCTCAGGTGCTTTGTAATTGTTCTCAGCAATCCTTTTGCTTTGCAGCCTCAGATCTTCAGCTCAAGAGAAGCCCCAAGCTTTCAGCTTCTTCCTCAGCTTCCATGGCTTCCTAAGTAAAGGAAGATTCCATGAGCAATTTTTCCAGTGAAAAGAACTTTTCACAATTGACGACCCAAAAACAAATTTATTATTGAGGATCAGGTGCCTTCCTGGTCTACTACCTTGAAAATGTGTTTAGGAGCAATGTTTCATAAAGGGTTTAATTGGGGAATTGGTGGTTTTGGCCAGCTGTCAGTTTTGAAGAAACCTAGAGAAAGCCAGATCAGCTAATGAATCATAATCATTGGCCTCAGGAGCTAAGTAAAGGGAGATTCCATGCGCATTTTTTCCAGTGGAAAAAAACTTTTCACAATTGAGGACCCAAAAACAAATTTATTATTGAGGATCAGGTGCCTTCCTGGTCTACTACCTTGAAAATTTGTTTAGGAGCAATGTTTTATAAAGGGTTTAATTGGGGAATTGGTGGTTTTGGTCAGCTGTCAGTTTTGAAGAAACCTAGAGAAAGCTATATCAGCTAATGAATCATAATCATTGGCCTCAGAAGGAATTCAAACCCTTATTAATTGGGTTTCCAATTTAAAAATTTAGGGACCAAAAAAAATTTAGCATTATAGAGGTACCATTTTTCAAACAGGGGGGTCTGAATAAATTTGGAACAATTTAGCATTATAGAGGACCTATTTACTAATCAGGATCCAACATTACATAGCATTACATGCATACATACATACATACATACATTACATTACATTACATTACATTACATTACATTACATAGCATTACATTACATTACATTACATTACATTACATTACATACATACATACATACATGTTCCAGGGAGCAAATTGATCACCAAGTTGCCGTGACAGTAGTTCAGCACGAAGTCCTCTAGCAACTGACGCGCCAAAGTGCCAGCTGGCGCCACGCCAACAAGCCACAGCAAAGTTTTGGGTTCAGAGGACAAGCGGAAGAAGAGCTCCTTACCGAAAGGCGAAAGCGAAAGAAAATGTTCGGAAAAAACACATCATGGCCTTGCCCAGAGCCTTGCCTCCGTACGCAGTAACAGTAGTTGTGGCAGCGCAGCCACAATCAAATAGGCCGCAGCTGCAATTACAAGTGGTGGAAGCCTTTTGTTGCGCGGGAGATACGGGCACACGCTGCAGGACGGGCACACGCTGCAGGGTTGATGACAGTATGTCAAGGCGCGCGAAAAGGTATAGAAGACAAAAGGGTAATAGTAAAATGCAAAGAGCGCGTGGCTAGGTCTCAAGACTGTGACCAAACTCCGTTGACTTGAATCGGCTTCACGCTACTCGCACAACCTGCCGGCAGAGAAGAAAAGCCCAGAGCGCCCAGAACAAGACCCCGACAAGGTTGAAAACAAAGCCCTGTGGCATGGCACAGCCAAACACACAGACACCGGCCCGAAAAGGCCCCCAAGGCCCGGACAAGTTGGGGACGAAAGGACAAGGACACACACGAAAAATTGCACGTTCGACGATCTGATCGCTCCAAGCCTGAAGAAACCCGGGTAGTTCAAAACACCTAGGAAGTGCAGAGCGCTGCAAGCATCAAAACCGTCCATTTCAAGAGGTCGCAAAGTCACGAACACGCGCAAGTCAAAAGTAAGCGGGCGATTGCCGACCTGGTGTACACACAGGATGCGACGCGGACGCGAACGCGTGGACAAGGAGACCTGAACAAGGCCCAGACAAGACACGACTCACAGCGCCGCCACAGCTATCGTTCCCAGCTGTTCAAGCGGTCAGAGGGAAAAAAAGCGAGAGAAGGACATGCTTCGCCAGCAGCGTTCGCGGACCGCAGCAATATGACAACAGGATGACAAGAGAAGGACAGAGGGTTAGCCACCGCAGCCAAACACAGCCAAGAGGACAGCGCAAGGACAACAGAAGGAAAAGAGAAGGAGGGTTCACCAGCAGAATGCAGGAGGGCAACTGGAGGCGGACAACAGGAGGACAAAACAAGGAGTTCATACCTGCGCTTGATTGAACGATTGCCCAAGCTGTTTTACCGGCTAACCCGCTTCGTTAAGCCTTTCTGTTCAGCTGACCTATCATCGCGCGGTTCCTGCGAGTCAAGGTCCAAATTCCAGTAAAGTAAAGCGCTAATGCATCCGTGAGTCACCTTCTGAACTTACGCTCGTTCACTTGAGCCCTCCATCTAAGTGTGTTCAGCGGTCTCTTCGGGGCGCTTGCTTCCCCCTTTTCAGAAAGGCGAATACAACTGAATGCATCGTCCTGCACACCTTCCAATACCTCTGATCACAGATGGCCGCTACATGCTCGACTTTGGGCAGCACCTGCCCGAAGGACCACAACGACATGTCCGACACTCCTCCCTGAGCACCGCCGCCTAGGTCCTACTCAGTGGTCCTACTCCTCAGCTTGCCAGCCACTTTGCGAAAAATGATAGGACCGGAAAACCCCACATGTTAACAACTTCACCCGACACAGGAGCGGACAATTGGTGGTTGGTGGTTGGTGGTGGTTGGTTGGGTGGTTGGGTGGTTGGTTGGTTGGCTGGTGGGTTGGTGATTGGTGGTTGGTGATTGGTGGCGGGTGGGTGGGTGGGTGTGTGGGTGGGTGTGTGGGTGGGTGTGTGGGTGGGTGTGTGGGTGGGTGTGGGTTCGTGTGGGTTGGTGTGGGTTGGTGTGGGTTGGTGTGGGTTGGTGTGGGTGTGGGTTGGTGTGGGTTGGGGTGGGTTGGGGTGGGGTTGGGGGGGGGTGGGGGGGGCACGGCGAGAGGGCGAGAGGAGGAGGAGGAGAGGGAGGAGGAGGAGGGAGGAGGAGGGAGGAGGAGGAGGAGAGGAGGAGAGAACGCACGTCAATGTGAGGAAATATAGAAAACATTAGAAAACAATAGTTCCTGATTGCCGGGGTCACATGTGTAAACACGAAGGGACATATGTCATGAGAAAATCTGAGGGTCACAGTTGCAATCATTGCCACGCGAAAACATACCGACATACCGACATACCGGACAAGGCAGTGGAGAAAGGGAAAGCACGGTGGCCAAAGCAAGGGATAAGGCCGGTGCAAGGCGGGCCGACCCACACAAGGTCTGGACAAAGCCCTCACAACGCGGAGAAGGCCCACGGCGCCCGGCCCATGGCGCGGCTAAGCGCGACACTCAGACCCGGACAGGCATTGGACAAGGCCAACCCTAAACAGGCGGCAGACCTATCTACAACGCAAGGCCCACGTACGGTAAGGCCGGAAACACAGACCTAGACAAGGCCTGGACAAGGCCACAGGAGAACAACACCCCGACAGGGTTCAGGGCGCAGCCAGAGTAAACTGTTTGGGGAACTGTTTGTCTTTCTTCCCTCTTGCAGCCAATGTATGGCCCGGCATGGCGCCTGACCCAAGTGAGATGCCCCGACAATTGACCTGCGAAGAGCGAAGGGAAGGAGGCGAATGCATCGAAGCGCAAATTAAACACTTCCGATCTTAGAATGCTGTAAACGGCTTGAGAAAGAATCGCCGCTAGAAACCTCTCAACACTTCTGCGCGTGTGACTAAACAAGTGTGTTTTTCACTTTTCTCTAAGCCTCTACTGTTCACCACGTTTCTCTGTATTTTTCTTTTCTTGTTGTCACTAGACTGACCACACTTTTCTACACGTGACACATGTCTCTCTGGAAGCCTCAACATTCTATACTTTTCTCTGCTGCAGTTGTCCGTTGGAAACTACTTCTCTCTTCTGCTCTCTTGGAATAATTGAACTACTTCTCTCTTCTGCTCTCTTGGAATCTTTGAACTTTACTAAGATCTGGACGTTCCTGTGCATCTACCTATCGCAATCACTCACTGATCAGTTCTCGGACAAAACATAGCATGTCAGGGCATCCTAGCTTCGTTCAACTGGCGAAAGTTAATTGAATAAGCTTGCTGAGTGTTGAAGCAACTCTTTCACCAGCTACCTACGTGAAAAGAACAGCGTTCATTTGATGAGCTGGCCTAGCAAGTGATCAGTGATGAGAGTTCCGAGTGTCCATGATTCGGAATTTCTGTTCTAAGCTTACTCTTCTATCACGCTGCCCTACGAAAGACTGTGCTAGTGGGAATTCTGCAAGCGCCAAAAGGCATGACATTCCCACTGCACGCAGCTTTTGCTCAGCCTATCTGTAAAGCAGAAAGAACAAAGCGCACAGCCGAGACTACTTGGCACATATGTTTTGCGTTTGTCCTATATTGGCCAAGGTTCGCGGGCATCCCCTCCGTCCAGATGTTGAGAGCTGGTAAAAATGACCTGTTCAGCAAGCAAAGTCAAGGAGGAGAGCTCAAGTTGAAGACAGTTCCGTACAGGAACATCTTCTCTTTTTTTGAGGCTAAAGCAGGAGCAATGAGACCTCCAAACTGAAAGGTGACAATCCGCTGTGTTTTGTGACTTAGTACCGGTACGCATTCATACTACTTCTTAGGAATTTGATTTTGAAAAGAGCTGACCATTCTGAACAACCATGAATGTTGCATCTAAAACATTCTAAAACCTGACATTGAAGCTCCACATCGATGCACAGCGCAGCTCCATCCTTGGGTCGATTGAGAGGATGAGACGCAATCAACTCCTCAAGGCTCTGAAAGATGCGGATATTCTTCAGCACCTTGGAGCACATTCAAGTTCTGTGTGAGTGGTTCTGCGCTAAACCTGATGACAAGCTTTTGCAGAATCTCACCAAAATAGTGTCTCCACCACACTGGCGAAAGAACTTTCATTTTACGCCTGTCTAGGCCCAATCTCACCCAACTAGGCCAGGTAGGCCTGTCAGTCGAGACGCTGACGCCAGCCGCACAGAACTATATATAAAAGAGTGGGACCAAGGAGGGCACACCTGCCAAGAAACTGGTTTTAACTTCAAGGTCCTGCCAGGAAATTTACAGTTTGAGGCTTGAGGTCACAAAGAGCTTCCCCTGCCACGACATCAGCGCTTATTGTTACTTTTGGTGGATGGGCCATTCTAGTATACATGTAACGCGCACGTATTTGTAAGACTGGGTGATGGCTATACAGTAGTCTGCAGGGGGCGGCGCCTTTGGACACGCCTGCTTGAGTTATGAGCTTTTTCAACGGCTGTTTGGGTGAGACGTTGAGGTCAGCAGTAGGCATTCTCGGATTAGTTTTTTAGTTTTGATTTCGATTGATATCGAAACCTGTTGGAACGATACGTTGGAACATTTAGCAACCTTTAGGAAACCTTTGCGAACTTCCCGACCACTGCATTTTACTTCATACTTGAGCCCCCACTGGTCATTTAAGTTTGCTGGGGAGCGACCGCTTCAGCTGTACGTATATACTCATTTCTCGACGCCTGAGAGACAATGGCAAACAGTGGACAGTGGACTGGACATACCAAACCGAAAGAAAGAGAGAGAGGGAGAGAGAAGAAGCAACAGAAAACAAACTAGAGCAACAAGCGAGTAAGCCACTGCCCTGCTATCTTGTAGGCGGCCCATGCAAAGTGCAAGACCGGTTTTGGAACAATGCAACATTGACATAGTTTAGAATAAAATTGCAAGGCGCAAAAGGATGATGCCCAATCTTTGATTCGAACGCTTCGAGAACTTCTTGTCCCATGTATTCCAGGCCTCAGTGTGCTTTGCGCGCACTGCAAGATTCACACACGCATGGATACAATGCGACTGCATTCGATGTCTTACACAGGACATGGGAATGCCCATGAACTGGTGAGACTGGGCCCTGATAGTGCAATCACCATGGCAAGAGATTTTGCCTACGAAGTGTCAAAGGTGGAATCGTTCAAGAAAATGGTGGCACTGGCAACCATTTCCATGCAGAAATATGTGCACTGCGCTACAAAGGTACCTGCCCTAATAGACCCACGATCAGGGCTGCAAAGCCAAGACCAACCGCTGCAGTCGACAGCTGTCGGCCCTCAACTGACTGGAAAATTTGTGTTTGAGCATCACCACTTGCATCTACGAATGTAGACGAGGTACAGTAATTTGCGGCTTGCACGCACGTAGAGACATAAGCCAATCCACAATGTTTCTAAACTTTTACATAGAATCATAGAACCAACAGGAAAGAGGTTCTTTAAAGCAGCGATAGCATGTCAGAAGGGACAAGGGTGAAGATCCCGTGCGTCATTGCTGAACCTCTCAAACAATAGTTCTTAGCTTAGCGCCGGTGCTTCAAAGTTTCATAGACAGAACCCGAGCGCAGAAGGAATGGGGTTTGCTAGTCTATTTTTTGGCATGCGTTTGGTAGGTGCAAGTTACAAATTACGCAGTGAGCGCAAGCATGACACCCCTTGTTCCATTTTGTACGTTGTTTTGAAACAACTGTTTTAGTGTTACCTGTTTTTTTGCTATCCTTTGCTGTGTTTCTGGCATCATACAGGTATTGCGCACGGACGATTATATATGTAGAATAACTTTTGTTGAAACAATGTAAACATTGATGGCTCGCTGAATCCGATCGGCATCAGAAACGGGCGGACCTGCTTTCACTCCAGCCAAAGGTCGTCCCCTGCAGTACAAAAGCATGAACGGACGCTCAAACGGATGGCATCTAAGCACATCTCATCCAAGCACATCTTTTCCGAGCTTTGCGCCTTCCCAAGACAATCTTGCTTACAATCGCGAGCTGGCTTGCCACACCGAGCAAACTCTGGCACTTTTCTACCAAGGGTCAACCTTCTGAATTTTGACCTTCCCAAATGAAACCACACTGCATTGAGTCACGTCTGCCACTTTGATTGGAATCTCTGAAAAACGGCCAGCGGTTCAGTTGCCAATGGCGTTCGGCTAGAGCCCACGTTTCTGCTTGGCTTCTGGAGTGGGTTCTCTCCTCTTCTCTCTCTCTCTCTCTCTCTCCCTCTCTTTCTCTCTCTGTCTCTCATATTCTCATATTCTCTCATTCTCTCATTCTCTCTCTCTCTCTCTGTGTCTCTCTCTCTCTCTCTCACATTCTGTCGACGGCTGGAGGTGGATATTGCAAAAATTTCTGAGGGAACTGTTCACCTCCAGCACAGGCCCTAAGAGCATGCTCCGCGCGCCTGCAGTGGGGCATGATGGACAAGACTTCAATGAGATATAGAATTTGAATGTTCTTCTGTCTAAGCTTGCATAAGCAAAGCCGGCATCGGCAAGCCTTTTCGGAGGGAATGACCACCATCTTTTTGTCGATCTCGCGCAAAAAACATCGGTCTTTAAGAAGCTCAAAAAAGCAGACGCGCAAAACAGGCTCAAAATCACGGGCGCGCTCTTCCTTCATTTGATAACGACCGGAAACTGCAGGCACAAAATATCTGTTCAAAACTTGAAAATCTAGAAGACGAATCCGTTTCGAACAATGACTCTGGCAGTAGCGTTCATTGAAGTAGGTCTTCGGCTATGCCCGCAAAGCTGTTGCGATGCGCTCTTCAGCTTGTTCTTGCAGCGCACATTCCTCTGAAAAATCTGATAGACTCCTTGTCGGGCACACAACTTCAGAAGATCACCTGGTTCCTGCTAGGCTTTGCCAACATCCTTTTCGTTGCAACCTTCAGCAAGGCGGAACGATTCCTTCGACATTGCGATGTCTGCGCTCGGGCGTCTATTGTCTATGGCAGTCGCTGCCGGGCATTGCTGGTAAGCCACACTTGCTGCGGACGTGGCTTGACTTTTTCCTCCAAAAGAGTGGAACTTACTGCGCTAGGCAACCTCTAGGTAGCAAGGAACAGGGGTCCAAGGTGAGTCTTTGCCATGATGGAGGTCGCTATGGCGAACGAATGCCAAATGTACGCGCCGTCACGATGACAGCAAACGGTGACGGCTTCTGGATCTGCTCTTGAATTAACATCAAGTCTTTGAACTGCTTCGCCCCGTACGAATGGTGTTGTTATTGTCGGCTGTCCTCAAGCCGTCGATCGTTGGATTTGGAAAACTCTGTCGACATTGGATATCGCTTCTCATTGAGGGCTGGTTTGCAGGAGTTGCGTTTGGGGCTGAAGGTGGTTTGAGACCCTCCGCAAAAGTTTCCTGAGACATGGTAACGTCAAAAACGACGGGGCCCCGAACACACATCGACCCACAAAACTCCGCTGGAAACACCCCGTTTTCGCGTCTTGAGATCTTCCAAAGCTTCTCAAAGGCTGCGTACACTGCGACGCACCATCGACCGCGTCCGTCATCATCATTGGCTCCGGCGGCATTTTTGCATAGAGCAGGCAGAGCTTGCAGCAGTCCGCCTGCTTCAAGGAAACCTCCCTTGATGTTGCCAAGCTCCCTTGACTTGTGAAAGCAACGGTTTGCATAAGGACCATGAAGAGACCCACTTCGACTTAACCCTGGCGACTGCAACATGCCCCGCTCATTTTTCTTCAGAGCCGGACCATGATCTAAATGCCCTTGCTCCAAGTTGAAAGTGGACGAACCCTCAACGTCAACATTTACTCAATCTTGAGCGGCCTTCCGAATAATCACAAAGCAAGAACGAATACAATAAAACGATCGGCATGTTCGGCTAAAACCATACAGACACGTTTCCCAAAAACAAACAGCGACCTTTTCCACGCTTGCTTCCAGCAGTCTCTGACTGGCTCTCGTTTTGGGTCTTTCCTTTCCCTTTCCAGATGGGGACTGCCGCTACTTTGACCAGTCGCTCTGCTAATCCGGGCTTCGAGAGTCTCACCTTCATCGCTTTTGAAGCTGAAAGTCTCAGTGAGCCCCTTGAACACCTCAGGGAATGACACGTTCCAAGGCGTCGCCACTGGAATGTGTAAGCGTCTTATGCTTCAGGGGGCGCCTAGTCCCAAGAAGAACTTTGTGGTCGTGCAATGAGGTGGCACTCATTGCGGCGCCGCGATCATACCCACAGCCCGGTACTTTGACCGCGCTCCGCTACCAAGGTTAAAGCACCGATGGCTCGCTGAACGCGATCGGCATCACAAACGGGGCGAACTGTTTTCCCTCCAGCCAAAGGTGGTCCCTGCAGTACGAAAGCATGAATACTCTTTGAAACATATTATACATATACAAATATATGCTACAGGATATATACGTGGTACCCTAACTCTAACAGCAGTATGGTGCCAGGCAAGTTGATGCAGGTCACTTGCCGAATGGCACTGTGGACTCCAGACGCAAGTCTGGCAAGAAGAAAGTAGTAGGGCGCAGGTTCGTCCACGAAAGCATCCACATACAAAGTCTCAACGCAGCCAAGACGCGAGTCTTCACCTCCAAACGAATCCGTTTCACGCAGTGCAATGAAGTGAAAGGCAACCAGTTTCAGAGTGCAACAAATGCAACCCGAAGAGTCACGGCTGCCTGGTCCAGCACCATGTCTCCAACAGAAGAGAGCCAGCAAATGGGATAGCTGCTGAGCTGTCGATCTTGCCCCCAAGCTGCTTCAAATAGAAGCAAGGCCTGATGGCAGAGGATGTTGAAAGATCAGACCATACATGGGAAGACCATGACTGATGGAGGGAAGACCCAGAAGGCAGGTTGTCAAAATGAAGAGGCTTGGACTGTCTGTTTCCCCCATGTGCAACTGCAAAAAGCTCGTTCACACTTTCAAAAGAGAAGTAAAACAAAACAGAATGACCATGAACGACTCCGTTCAATGAACTCGCCTCGGAAATCCACCCGGCTACATCGGCCGGGATTAGGACGCTGCCACCCTTTCGAAGCGCCGTAATAGTCTCCTGTCCAGAGCTGTGACGCAAACTTCATGGCACAGTCGGCCATGAGCAAAAGCCGTGCGCGTGATGTCCAACGCTGTTTGTGGTGGAGGGGCAATGCACCACTGCGCGCACAGTCACAATGCACATCAATGCACATCACTTCGTGACAGCAACGACCTTTTCCTCTGCAGTATGCAGTAGCCAAAAACCAAAAATGTTGTAACATGTCACCCAATCAGTCTTCAACATACCTTTCAGAAAACATTAAATCGGAAGTCCCTATCCCTTGAAACGCTGTCAAGCGTTTGTGTTTTCTGTCGCTGCCTGTGGCGGGATCAGTGTCTGTTGATGATGCGCGTCTTCAACATTCCAGGGGCACGTTCACCTTTCTCTCGTGTCCTTCACGCAGTAGAATCTTGTTCGGTGAAAGCCTACCAGTCATAAGCTTGTTCGCTTGCTTGCTTTTTGTGCCTCCCAAGTTTGGCAATCCAAACATTTCTTTACAAACGCGTTTTCAACGTTGTCCTATGCCTGCAGGTAGGTCTACAGTATACAGTACATCGATGAGCTTCCAAACAAAGTTCATTGATTTGTGGGCATGTGTGTATGCCTGGATCATCATGCACCTTTGAATTGTGAGCATTCAACTTGCTGCAGAACACTGAACTTGAGACCCTGTCGCATCTGCTCATAATTGGTTCGGCAACGTTTGGACTGGCGTTGGCGCCGCCAAAGTCTTCTTTGTTGTAGTGTGGACAACTTTTGAAGCTTGCGCTGTCTGTGAGGCTTTCGACAAATAGCAAGAATGACCCCATCATTCTGCGCTCAGGATGGAGATCTCCATAAAATACGCGGTCTAGGATTTAGGCATTCAGCCTACAGCCAACCAGAGCCAGCCCTGTGGCGTCTACAAATCGTCCGCTATTTGGGCGATATTGAAAGCTTCCAAAACCACTGCCTTGTCTTACAGCGTGATACTTGTTCACCTTTCGATCTTTGCCTGCTGATCTTTGCCTGCAGCAATTGAGCGTGATGTTGTTGAAGTCTCGTCGTATTTTGCATGAGCATCTTGCATGTGTTGCAAGGGGATTGCGCTGTCGGAACATTTGCCCAGTGTTTACCTTGTTTCGTGACATGCCCTTCAAGTCACAATGTCACAATGTGCTAAGAGCCTGTCTCAAGCTAAACCTTCATTGGGTGATGATGGCTTCAATAATTTTGGGCACTTGCCTCTTGAATTGTTTCGGTCATCAGTGCAACCTTTTAATGGATAGTGTTCTTGGATTGGTTGATGCCTGCAATCACGCTCAAGGTATTTCCATGTTGCAGAAAGACTTCGAATTTGGCAGCATTTGTCAATCTTTGTATCTGGGGCGCCAAGGAGTCAGTAGTTTTTGACAAGCTGGCGGCGCTGATCTCGAGGCCAGGTCAGCCTTCTCCTCGACACGGGCTAGTCTAAGTCCATTTGCTCTCCAAGGTGAAGGGCGGCCGTTGCTTTCTTGAGCTGGCGGGAGTCCGGCTAGCCTGAATCTTGGCCAGGGTGGGCAAAGGAAGATCGGCGCGCAAGCCGACCTCCAAGCAGCAGGCCTACAAGTTTGCAGGCCAAGCCGAGTGGCCACACCGAGCTCGCAGAAACGGGCAACGTTGGCGGCCTCGAGCTCGTGGCCACAGCTGCGAGGGTCTGAGCCCTATCACAACGCAAAGATTGCGCGGTTTTTTAATCTGTATCGCCCATTTCTTGCAATTCTGTTCAACGTTGCGTTGGTGCTTTTCATGTCGCCTCCAATGGTGTTTCGGTTATCGTGTCTGCTCTGCGTTGTCTGCCTTGCTGATTGTAAAAGTAATTCTTTCTTCGGACGTTTTGTAGCTCTGCGTCTCTCATTTTATCGGGGTGTTGGATTGTCGTGACCTACTCTTGAGCCTATTCTAGGTTTGAAACTGCGTAGTGCCCTTTCTTCCTCTGTCACTTCTGCGAATGTCAGACCTTCGTTAAAGAATTGTCTCATTCAATCTCTACACTGTATGAAGTGTCAAAGCATGTCAAAACTATGTTCAATCCATTTGCTATCGATGTGTTTGTGTGTGTGCCAACTCCTGTTTCCAAGGAGCACGACCACATTGGTTCTGGACGCGCAGCCCTCGCACTTTTTCTGGGCAAAAAAAACGGCTGTTGGTACACTTCTATGAACTTCTATGATTTGTGCGTGTCATCTCAACACTTGCACTCCTCCCTGGCTCATCTTTTTGATGAAGCCAGTACTGCACAAAATGCGCCTCCAGCTCAAGCCGTTCCTCGGCAGACTTTACACTGCCTGATTTCAAGCATCGCCCCAGTCACCGCGTCACACCTGGCATCGGTGTGATGATTCCCGAGCTGGTCTTCATAGATGAAGTCCGCTGCATCAAGGCTTCTCTGACCTTGAGTCGACCTCTGGCATGCTCCGCACACTGGATGCCCTCGAACTCGATTTCGATGAAAGCACTGGACTCCGGGATGAAGTTGGCATCTTTTCTATACCAAAGTCCAAGCCCCTGGGTGGCATTCAAGTGTCTGATGAGCTGGTACGCCGTTTGAACTGCCGACTTAGGTGCACGGCTCGTCGCTGAGCAGATCCTGCTGACCACGTAGGCAATGTCCGGCCTTGTCTTTGTGGCCAACCAGAGAAGTTCTCCTCCGAGCTGTTGTGCCTCTCGTACTTGTGTAGGTGTTCGATCCAGCTCATCTTCAGGCTCCTGAGCTTCTTTCATGAGTTGGGCACTGCAGAGCCATTGATTGGCAAAGAAGTCTCCCTGTTCTGTCCTGCTCAGTTCCATACCACAATACCGAACCGGTTCTGCTTCTCCCACCCACGTAGGCTCTGAAGTCTCCCACGTTTTTCGAAAGCTCTGAAGCCCACCTTCCACTATTTCCTTGGTGCCAAACAGCATCACATTGTCCACGTACACCAAGGCCATCTCCAGAATCCTTTCGAAGCACCAGCCACAGGTTGTGAAGCTCTGTTGGTACTCGTAGGTGACGTGGTTGGCCTGGAAGGACATCTCAATGTCCCTCTATTCTCCCCAGAGTTTTGGAGATTTTCGCAGGCCATAGAGAGCCCTTTCAATCAGCCACATTTCCCCCTCCTTCACCAGTCCCAAGCGAATTAGGATCTTTGGTGGGAGCATCAGCACCAACCTTTTTCTCTTGGTTGGGTTGTCCTCCTGCATGCAGTCTTCTTGACCTTCACGACCTCCTCCATCTCCCTCTTCGTTCTCTTGAAGGCGACCGTGAGAATCTTCAAGCGCCAGCACTTTCCTTCTACTGCTTTCTTGGAGAGTTCGTAGAGGAGCGTTCAGGAAGGCTGTCTTGATGTCCAAGCTGGCAGCTTGCCACCCGCGTGGTGCGGCCAGTGCCAAAGAGGTCCTCAAGCAAGTAGTATCAGCACCCCCTGCATAGAGTTGAGCTGCTTCTGAGCGATCACCTGGGCCCCTTCCAGCTCCCTTGAGGTAGTTTCCACACACCACCAGACGACACTTTCTGCGACCATCTGGAGCTTTCACTGCATGTATGGCCTTTCCAGGGAGTACTTCGACCGTGTCACCATGCTCCCTCTGGTAGTCGGCCACTTCCGCTGGCGTCAACCTTCGGATCGCTTTCTTACCCTCCAAGGATTGAATCTCCTTCATGATGGCCTCGATCCACAGCGCCCGATCCCTGTAGACCTCATTGCTCGGCGCGATGCGAGTTTGCAGGATTTCATCTTCAAGAAGCCTTTGGGTAGACGCCACCTGCTCCTGCCTCAGTGCAATCAGGCCTCGCGACAATGGCGGCACTTCTCTCGGAGCAGACCCCTCCACATTCGGCGGTCATCTTCTCTCCTCAGGTCCTCTACCCCTTGGACGCAAGCCAACGGGGTCTTCTCCCTTAGTCTCCACCGAAGTCGAACAAGGTCATCTTGGATGTGAACCTCCTCCATGACCTGATCTCATCGCTCATCCGGCTTAGCTTCCTTGGTGTCCTTGATCAGGTAGCTCACCACCTTGACCTTCTCCTTGTCCGTGAGCACTGCATGTCCCTTAGACACTTCTGGGGTTGGGGTGAGGTAGGTCACCGTCTCGGACGTCACCTCGAAAGGCCCCCCACGTTCCCACGCACGCTTCCTCACCGTGATGAGCTGTCCAGAGCGGGGCAATTTTTCTTCGATGTTTTCCCGTCTTCTCCTTTCCAGCTCAGTCACATGTCTAGCTGCAGCTGGCCACCACTTCGTAGGCATACCAGAGGCATGTAGAAGACGACGGACTTGTTGTTTGATCGAAGCTATCATAGCCTCAGCTCTTCCATTCGACTGGCGCTCGTCCGGCGGGCTGAACGTCCGAGCCCCCTTTGCAGGCACCATCTTTGAATGGATGGTTGTCGAACTCCCTTCCAGCATCAGTGTGGATTCGTGCCACCGGATAGCCATGCCTCCTCAACACGCCAAAAAGTTCCTGAACGCCAGCCAGTAATTGCGAGGCGCTCTTCGAAGACAGCGGGAGGCAGATAGACATTGTCACCATCTTATACACCTTTTGGTGCTCCTCTGTCTCTTCGGGCGTCTTTGGAAGTGGCACTGACGGTTCACCCCGATCTTCAGGCTCTGGGTCTGGCAACAGTTCTTGCTGAGCACCGTCTCCTTTGCCTGGTGATTCACCTCCTTCTTCACAGTCATCAAGTCCCTGAAATTCTCCTTCATCAGACGTGGGTCGAGCCGTCAGGTCTCGTGTCACCTCGTACTCAACATCTTGAAGAGCTTCCTCCTCAAGCGCGGGCCAGTCTCGTCGCCAAACTGGGTCGAGATGCACGACTCGCTCAAGAGAGAAGGGCCAATTTGCTCCCAGTCTTTAAATTCCTGATGGAACAGCCAGCGGCACCTCAGCGCATGCCGGAAGTGGCCTCATTTTGGAGAAGGAATGGAGGAATACCTCAATTTGGACTTGGTGACCTTCAACCAGGGTGCCTATGGGGGAATGGCAGTCAAGCCAACATCACTGGCGCTCAATATGGAGTTCGTGGTACCCGAAGATAGAGGCCCTCCGAAGGCATTTCTGAGGACCAATTAGCACCAAGTGTCAAGTTCGGACCTTGCCAGGTGGGTCCGGGGACGATGAGAGAAATCGCTCGAAGCATCACCACAGACATCTAAAGAAAAAGGGTCACTATGAGGGCATTGTCGTGGCACACCTTGCGCAGGGGCATGATGTACAACGTCACCATGCGGAACAACAAGAGGTCGTCCAAATGGCCATTTCCACTTCATCCAACTCATCCAGACCCCATGGCCTTCCCAACGATCGCGAGGGCCCTGGTAGTCCCGTTACCGGATGATGACGAAACTCACTGCGAGTGCGGCAATTTGGGCCTCCGATCACCGCGTCAATCCAGCCCAGCATTGCAATACGAAGCAACGCTGCGTACATCGCATCGTCTTTGGACATGTCGTGACTTTGATCACGTTGAATGTCCACCTCCAGCAGCCTTGTAGTGTCCCCCCTGCTTCTTTCAATGCCCTTCTTCTTCGCCGCGCCACCATGGACATGGCTGCGAGCTGCGCAGGGCAGCCCAGCGATCGACCTCCTCAGCCGGGGCTTACTCCTTCAACCTTGGGCTCATAACCTGGGCGTGCAGCCCTCGAACTTTTTCTGGGCAAAAAAACGGCTGTTGGTACACTTCTATGATTTGCGCGTGTCATCTCAACACTTGCAGGTTCAATTCCACCTTAACCCCTCTAGGCTTTCAAGCTGCACAGGCAAGCAGGGGGGCCGGAGCCAGGCGGGGTTCTCCGGCCAATGAAGACAACCCCCACCTGCGTGCAAACGTACTTGCACATTTTCCTTTAGTTTTAAAATCAAATGCTGTAAACAAGAATGTTTCGGACATATTCACTTTGCCGTTCCCTATCAGGGCTGTTTCTCAGGTCTCAAGTTGCCCAGCGCTCTAAGCGGGTAATGTAATCATTAGAGCGCAGTGGAACTTCCAAACTGATTTAGTTCTTCCGGTCCGGGCATGGATCTAAGTGCGTGCCGCAGCATCGTCCCACTGTGGTGTGTGATCCCTTCGGGGCGCTTTGACTAAGGGAGATTTTTCATGTTACTCGGTTACTCGTCTTGCGCGATCAACACTGGATTCTCGTCCTTTCTCGAGATCGCCGCTCCGCCGCAGGGCTCGCTGAAAACTTTCACAGAATGACATGCCACGCGGCTAATGTATTCACTTTGACGTTTCACCACGATTTCTGTCCTTCTTCCTGATTCTCTTCTTTTTCTAGGTCTTCTTTCGTCGCTAAAGGCTTTTTATGCGTAACTCAGGTTTCTTTCATAGCTAATATACTCACCTGGACGTTTCACACTAAATAATTCATGCACGGTCTTGCTTTCTGTCCTTCGTTGTTTCTCTTTCTAAGTCTTTCCTTCGTTGCTAGAGGCTTTTTGGGTTACAACTCAATTTTTCAGTTAAGGGACCGCCGATACGGCTGTGTGTGTGTGTGTCAACTCCTGTTTCCAAGGAGCACGACCACATCGGTTCAATTCCACCTTGACCCTCTAGGTTTTCAAGCTGTACAGGCAAGCAGGGGGCCGGAGCCAGGTGGGGGGTCTCCGGACAACGAAGACACCCCCCACCTGGGTGTAAACGTACCTGCGCATTTTCTCTCAATTTTTAAACCAAGTGATGTCAACAAAACTGTTCGGACTTTATCACCTTGCCGTTCCCTCTCAGGGCTGTTTCTCAAGCCTCAGGTTGCCCAGCGCTCTAAGCCGGTAATGTAATCACTACAGTGGAGCTGCAATCAAACGATGTAAACAAAACTGTTTCGGACTTGTTCACCTTGCCGTTCCCTCTCAGGGCTGTTTCTCAGGTCTCAAGTTGCCCAGTGCTCTAAGCCGGTAATGTAGTCACTAGAGTGGAGCTTCCAACTGATCTAGCTCTTGCAAGCATGGATCTAAGTGCGTGCGCGTTCAATTGAAGTAAAGGCGCTGCTCCTGCATTCCTTTCAGGCAAAATTGCGGTGGAAGCGGAAAAAATGTTAAACAGTATACCGAGCATGACATGCCTGTATACTGACTACCATTTTTTGATCGGTGCGCGTTGTCTTGGAAGCTTGCGTCTTTCGAAGACTCGACGAAAGGACCAAGAAAAGCCAACAGAAGTTCCCGGGCGCGCCTCCAAGAAGCACTGCTCTCGCACTGTCCGGGCAACTGATATGGCCTTGCAGCAAAAGAAAAAAGACTGCAGAAAAACATATGTTTACCGCGTGTTCTTCATGTTTTTTGCGGTCTCATGGATTTCGGTGCGTGTCTATGATCATTTTATCCGACTTCAACTAGATAGGGAGTGGCATTGAAAACAGATATACTATATATCATGTATAATCTATATATATAATATATAATATATAATATATAGCATAATATATATATATATATCCGCCGACCCCTGCTTAGCTGCCTGGGACGGCGTAGCGGAGCGATTGAGTGCCACCGGCCTGCTCTGTCAAGCTTTCTTCTGGTCCCTTTCATAAAAGAGCTCCTACCTGCTCTGCCTCTGGCTCCTCAAGCTTCTATTTATTGGGTTTCGAAGCTGCCGTCTGGCACCTCTGGTACCTTTCAAAAGAGCTCCTACCTGCTCTGCCTCTGGCTCCTCAAGTTTTTTTTATTGGGTCTGCCTCTGCCTCCTGAAGCTTTCCTTTGTTGGGCTTCGAAGCTGCCGTCTGGCACCTCTGGCCCCTTTCATCATTAAAGAGCTCCCTTCAAGCTTTTTCTATATTGGGTTTCGAAGCTGCCGTTAGGCCTCCTACCTGCTCTGCCTCTGGCCCCTCACAAGCTTTTTGCATTGGGCTTCGAAGTTGCCGTTAGGCGCCCTTTTTTGGGCGCAGAATTAGATGGGGGAAAGCCGTGGCGCTACCTCCGCTTTTTGGCTGTGGCGATAGCTCCACTTTTTGGCTTCGCTTTGCGTCTGGTCTAGAGCTCCTACGTGCTTTGTCTCTCTAGAGCTCCCACCTCCCCTCAAGCTTTTTCTATATTGGGTTTCGAAGCTGCCGTTGGGCACCCTCCCTATCCGCGCCCTTTTGGGCGCTGAATTACATTCTGGAAAAGGAGCGGCGCTTTGGCTTCACTTTGGCTTTGGTCAAGAGCTCCTACGCGCTTTGTTTTTCTAGAGCTCCTACCTGCTCTGCCTCTGGCCCTCAAGCTCTTTTTCTGGCCGCTCAGGCTTTTTCTATATTGGGTTTCTCCTCCTGCTACTACTTCTTTTGTTACTATTACCATTAGGACCGACTTCTGACTACTTAGGTGTCTTTTGGTGTCTTCTTTGAGGTCGATCTTCCTCAACAGATTGGGGCCTTGGACGTGGATGGCTTGGCTTTGTGATGAGCTCCGTGTGGAAGAGGCAAGCCCATGGATGGCACGGGCGCCGTCACGAGCACGTCCCAGCGCTGGGCTGAGCCTCCGACAGTCTGAGATGATCAAAATGCGCTTTGGCTTTATCCACTGATAAATATCTAACGGTTAGATTCTTCCACTTTTTTGCTGCACACGGGCCTGACACTCGAGCTCGCTACCCGTTAAAGGTTGAGGGTCTCCACCGCACCGTGGCACTCTACAGTGAGTCAACCGCCAGAAGGGGTGAAGCAAAAATAGAACAAAACTCAGTAGAGACTACAGACTTGCAAGATGCAGGCCCATTAACCCTCACCTAAGCAGCCGAAACAAGAGCATACCAGACCCAAACGGGATGAGTGTCAAACGAACGCCACCAACGAAGCTAGACAGGAGGCCGAAACCAAAGTCCTGAAGGGAGGTCTTCTTGTAAAGATGGATCAGATCGCAAGCTCTTAGAACGCTAGTCATAAAGCGGAAATGGCACACTGCTTTGCGAAACCAACCACTCCACGTCGCTGCTCTGAGTGTAAGAATCCAGGAACAATAGCACATGGGACTCGCGAGTCACCATTCCCTTGATCTAGAAAAATTGTTTTAATTACTAACAGCAATGGCCTCCAACCTAATAGCGATGGCCTGCAAACTAACAGCGATGGCCTCCAACCTAAAAGCAATGGTTCCAAGTAGGTTTTAAAAAATGCAAAAAGTTTGCCATTCAAAAACTTATACAAACGAGTCGTCTTTCATCCAAGTCTCATAAAAGAACGTTCTGCGCATGATAAATCATCTAATTAAAGAAAATCACTCATCATTTGGGACTGTCTCTGAAGTTTCGAAGTTTCTTGAAATAGACGGATTCTTTGTAAGTGCTGGGTTGGAAAAGAACACATTGGCGCAAATCCAAACACGGCGTCCATTCCGCCAGTTCTCCGTGCGCTGTGGACCGCACATGCGCGCGTGTGCTGAGTTGCTATACTGTACATTGTGAACAGCACCTTGCACACACAGCATGACGGCGTGAAGCCTGGACCACATGTCAGAATCCCTAGGAGCAAGCACCCCCCTGCAGAAAGAATCCGGCACCACAGTGTATGACAGACTTTCTGTGGAATCCCGCATCACGTGTAAAAATGCAATCAAACATACAAATAAAGGAGACATCATTCTGATTCTGATTGCAAAACCAAGAATCCGATCATTGCGAAACTCTGGCTATTTGTCAGGGGTTGAAACAAAACTTCCCACTGAGTCACTCCACCTCTGCACAAAGGTCGAAGCCGGTCCACTTCCACGCCATCTAAATATCTCCCACGTCGCATTGTACCATCGACCAAATACACTGCTGACCTCAGATGTGCTAAAGCAATGGCCAAACCACACTGGCCAAAGGAATCCTATGAGGACAAAACTGACTGAGCTGAATGAAGAAAACAGAAGCAAGCACCGTTTACATGAAAATCCTGGGCAACTGACTGGTGCTTCCACATCCCTTTGCAGATAAACATGTAAGTTATGTTTATATGTATATAGTGAAGAAGCTTCAATGTAGACCATAGTGAACATGTACAGCATGTAAAGCAGTCTTTGATGCGACCGCAGCCCTTTTGCTTATTGAGAAAAGTTCGCATGGTAGCGGAGCAAAGATAAGGGTAACCCCCTGTGAGCTCCAGAGAATAGCCCCTAGGTCACTGGGATCGCGGGAACAATTTCGAGCCATAGATTTGGTGCCTTTGGAACCCAAACACTGAACTGGTGATAAATTGTTGTGAGCTGCACTCTGTACCCCGCACATTGTGTCAGAAAGACATTAGTGTGCAGGAAAGATGGATGAAACCTTCAGGTTATAGCACTCAGAGTACACAAGCAACAACATCAGTGGCTGAGGCAGTGAAGAAAGCAGCAGTTGAGGACAAGAAGTCATCAACAACTGATTGGTCAAAACTGATAGCAAAGCCCAACGTCTTTGACTACAAGTCACAAGAAGAAGAAATCAAAGCATTTAGAGAGCGGTCATGGGTGTTTGAGAAGTATTTGAGCTCAGTTGATAAGGCTTACATCAAAAAGTTGAAAGACATTCATGACAAGCCAAATGAGAAGTTTGACATGGACTTGGCAACTACAAAAGAGAAGCCAAGGTGCATCAAGCTTTACGCGATAGCTTCATTGATGAGGGGAAGAGCACTGCAATTGGTGGAGGTCTCTAATGGATTTGATGCCTAGAGGAGTTTGAACAAATCTTTGAAACATACTTCAAAAGCTAAAGGCTAGAGGCCTAGCACTGTTGGGAGCAGCCACTACATGGCCAGCATTTTCAATGAACCGGGCACTACAATCACTACAACCTCAACTTCTGAAGCTTGAAGAACTGTTGATGAGACGGTCAAGGCAGGGGCGACAATTCAAGAAGAGTTGAAATCTGCTATTGGTTTGAGACTTGAATTTGACAAGTGGCCACAATGTTCAACACTCAACTTTGAGGGAACAACTGTTGCAGTGGGATCTTCTCAGCACAAGTGGGCTACTGCAATGGTGGCAAGTAGCAGAACAGACTATCAAGGACCGATGCCAGCGGACATTGATCGGGCCCAAGATTCAAGAGGAAAAGGCAAGAAGGGCAAGAATGACCATCAGAAAGGCAAAGGTATGGATGCCAAGGGCAAAGGAAAGAAAGGAAAAGGAGATTAGACAGGAAAAGAAGGCGTGGCAACACGCTACACTTGTGGGAAGCCAGGACATCTTGCTCGGGACTGTTGGAGGAACAATATTCGACAGGCGGCAAGCGATCTAGCAAATTCATCTTCAGGAGGAGCATCAGTGAGTGGTCAACAACAAGCCAATGTTAGCCAGCAGAGTAGCTCAGCAGAGACCAAACCAGTGGTCAGAAGGGTTGAGAACAGTGAGCCAATCATCTTTGACTTGGGAGAAAGGGATGATGAAGCAGAAGATCATGGAATTCGAGCGGTTCATTTCTACATTCGAGATGATGATGATGATGATGATGATCATCATCATGGTGATGATGATGATGATGACGACGACGACGATCATGATGATGATGAGCCATGTGAGGAAGGAGGAAACCTCATCGAGGAAAACTTGATGGATATTGAGAACGAGGAGTCCAAGGTTAGAAGACTTGGAGAAAAGGGAGAGAGAGAGAGAGGAGGAAGGATGTGGCCATCATTATTGATAGTGGAGCTGATGTAGCTTTATCCCCTTTGAGTATGGCAGATCATGGAGAAGGAGAATTGGAGTACAGCGCAAAGACCAAGCGGAAAAATTTCTCAGCGGCCGCGGGCCCAGGCCCGCAACCAGCCCCCTCCCACCCCCCAGCCGCGGGCCCAGACCGAACCATATCCCCAAAAGTGGGGAAATTTCCTTGCGTGGCATTGAGGGACGTGAAGTACTTCTCAAAGAGAATGCGATCTTCAGTTCAAAGGCAAATCAGCCTTATGGAGCATGGTTGGGGAAACAATTGTCGAGAGCAAGTTTTGGAGAATGGTGACTTGAAGGTACCACTCAACTTTCAAATTCGCTCTTTGACAGTACAAGGCCGCGCTAGGGTCATTAGAGATGAAGATGAAAGCTGCTTGGAAGCGCAAGTACCGGCAGCAGGTTGGAAATTCAATCGGCATGGACTGCCAGTTGGAAGCTTATTGATATGGGATTCTTTGCACCAGGATACAAGAAGCTTGAAAACAGAGAGGAGAGAAAGAAAGAAGCGGAAAAGGCAATCGTAAGAATGAAGAAGACGTTGAGTGTGAAGTACAATTGAGCCCACTGGATGTAGACAAAGTCTTGGCGAATGGAGAATGGAGTAGAGTTAGCTCACGGTTCTACTTTAGCAACATTGAGGGCAGCGTGTGATTTGTCGGCATTTCAGGTAGCGGCTCTAAGTTAAAGGTCTACACAAAGATCCTCAGTCATAACAAAAACATAAAAATCTTGAACGCCAAAAAGTTTGGTGAGCGAAGCAAAGGCTCGAGAGACAAGAGAAGCACTAGGACAAAGCGTGGCAAAGATGCCAGATGAAGCCACTCAGACAAAGCATAGTTTGACACATCTAACATACGCCACTTGGTGTAAGGAGCGCGTTGAACATCAAGCACGTCCAGTTCGCCATGAGAGAACAGGTGGATTGACGAGAGGAAGTATTTCTGAGGTGATATTTTTTGCTACACTAGCGCGAGAGATTCACAAACAAAGTCAGCAAGAGCAGTATGTATGTGGGCTAGTTGTAATTGACAGCCAGACTGGATACATTCATGTTGCGCCTATTAGGAAGCAGCAAGAACCAATTTCGTCTCATTGTGGAAGAGTTGATGAAGTTCAGTCATTTGTTGGGGTATTCAGCCATCACCTACAGGAGTGACAAGATGCTGATCACCGCTCGTCACAGCCTAGGACTGGCAACAAGATTGAACACTTCAAAGCTTGGAGGTCATTCATTTCTGCCAGAGAATGCAGTTGACAGGGTGAGGAAGCTTGCAGGAAGTTTCATTGAAGGCGCGCAGTCAAGACTTGGCATCAAGGTAGGATCAGATCGTGCACTTTGGACTTGGGCAGCAAGACACGCCAGTTGGGCGCCACGGCTATATGCAAAGTCTCAACAAAGGAGAAGCTCGATGGCATCTATGCTTGCTTTTTGGAAAAGTTGAAAGGCAAGACACCTATGTGCTGACAGATGGTGTGCAGGTAGCGCTAAGCAAATGGATCAGAAGAACAGATCAAGATTGGTCCAAATACTTGCCAACCTACAAAAGCTTCAATCCTTACTCATGGGAGTATCAAACAAACTTTGGAGCAGAATCGTTGCCGCAAAAAGGAGAGCAGAAGCATTGCCAGCAACACAAACAGACATTCCTCGAGAGCATGTGATGCTGAAGTTCATGGGTGGGGATGCAGAAACCAATACCGGCTCCAGCCCCGGTAGAAATCCGGTTGAAGCAATGAAAAAAGATGGAGATGAAAGGGAGCCCGGTGGAGAAGAGACACCAAGTAAGAAGCAGAAAGTTCTCTTCGCAGCTGAGTGTTGTCTCACTTGTGAAGGTGAAGGCGTTCCCATCTACATACATCAGTGCCAGCAGGACAACCCAATCCAGTTACTCCGATACTATCTTCTTTGAGATCACCATCAACGCCTTCAAGACACAGGGAAGCATTTGGATTGCTTGAAGAAGAAAGCCATATGAAGAAACTCAGGCCATCAGAAGATTCAAGAAAGCCAAGTTTAACTTGGTGAAAGTTGCAGGAGAAGATCTTTATCATGTGGATGAAGAGTCATCCCCAGTTGCAGAAAAAGTTGATGGAGAAGACTGGGAAGAAGAAGGAGATGAGGAAGAAGAAGATGAGTGGAATGGACCGGAATGTTTGTGGCGTGATGGAGAACATGAACCAGAAGAAGATCCAGAAGGATGGATAGACAAGGTAGCTGATGAAGCTGCAGAGAAAAGACTCCAGAAGACGCAAGCGCAAGAGAGGCCAGAAGGTAGCACAGAAGGTGTCAGTTACCTGGCAACATGCAATGTGTATGATTGGAGAAAGAAGCCTTATCACCATGGAGATGGAATGGCAATCAAGAGGTGGAAGAGATCGAGACTAGTTGCAAGAGAATTGCTTTTGCTGAAGGAAAGTGAGAGATGACATTTTCTCACCAGCAACTTCAGGACATGTACTGAAGCTTTTGCTAACAGTATTCTTGCAGAGAGTCAGTGAAGAGGAAGAAGCAAGAGAGGGAGAAGGAGCATTCTCTCAGATGCTAGGATGACTTGGTGTGAAGGATGCATTCTTGCAGGTACCACAGGAGAAACCATTGCAAGTGAACTTGAGAATTTTGGGTGAAGAGAATTTACCTGGACAGAGAATTGCAGCAAAAGCATGGTTTGACTTTTTCGCGGAAGACTGATTTCATTGATATACTTTGAACAACCATGGATCAGAATGATACTCTTCTCATGTCTTCCCAGGCATGGACACTCAGCACTGAACTTGTAACTGAGTTCCTCGGTCAGGTGATGAATTCAACTTTTTGAGGGGAAAGTACAAAATTGAGAAAGATGGATTATGGACACCGCCAGGCAACTACAGCCAGCAGATGCTGAAAGCCTATGAGGAGCAGATTGGAAAGATCAAACTCTAAGTTAACCCATCTCTCCTTTAGCAACTCACTACCGGCAAGGACAACCTCCAACTGATGAACCAGCTCACAACCAATCCTCTTAGGCTTCCCTTTGGAACGGCTTCTCGAACCGGCGAGCAAGTTCAACCCACGGATCATAGCTTCAGGGTAGGGGATATGGTAACCACATAGCCCTATATCTGATGGAAGGGGGAGAGGAAAAATCCCCTCCGAGGACTGTCCGCAACGCGTGCTCACATGTAGTTCAAACGCTTCCATCAGTTCTTCTTTTCTTTTCCTGCCTTCTTGGCCTCCTCAGCTTCCTCTGCAACAGCCTCTTCACCTTTGGGAGGTCTCTCACCTCCCCTCCCTTTGCCTCGCTCCTCAGCCAACCTCCTCAGTGATGCCAGTTCGTCCAGCTCCTCCACAGCCTTCTCTGAAAGATTCATCTGCCACTCCTTCTGTGCAACAGAGCAATCCCAGAATCCACGGGCATGGAAAAGGCGCATTCCTGTCTCGAGCTGACCACACTCTTCCCTGCAAAGGTGAATTGACACACCACGATCCTGTCCTCCACCAAACGCTTCCATGATGCGCTCAGATTGAGTCCCCGTCAGCACGAAGTCCATGCGCCCTTCACCTGGACGCAAAGCCCTGACTCTGCCTGCTATCTTCACAGAAGCATTGTAATAAGATGCTCTGTCAAGCTCAATCACATCAACCTCCCTCAGCTTATCCATGGTGAGGTCCGACCAGGCATACAACTTCTCCACCGGCGCTGCAACCTCTTCTTCTGCGGCTGGTCTACGACGAGGGCGAGGTCGAGCTGGCGCGGCCGCCGGTCTTCTGAGTTTGGGGGCCATCACTCCCTTTACCAATGATATCGGCCTCCTCTGCCGTGCGACTTCCTGTCCTGCAATTCCTGCTTTGCTCTCTTTGTGATCCCTTTGTTGGTTCCTTGCGTCCAACGGGGATGGCTGGAATAGGGCACGCGGCCCGCGGCCCCTCCAACCACTTCCTTGTGGGTTTCCTTTACCTCTCCCTTTGGAACCCGATGACCTCTCTGGCGGGGGTCGATCTGGTGTATGTGGTGACCTTGGCTTTCGCTGTGTGGGCCTCGGCCTCAAATAAGGCTCTCTCTCAATCGCTGTCTCCTTAACAGCCTCCTCTCCTAAAACTCCTTTTTCTCTCTCTGGGAGTCCGGAAGCTCCCTTTTCTGTCTTCTGACCTCTGAACCACTTACCTCTGTAGATCCTGACTCACGTCTCCTTCGCCTTCTTTTTTCTTTCTCTTGCCTTCGTTTGGGCGTTCTCGATCTCTTAATAGTCTCTTTTTCTTCTTCCCTTCTTCGCGGCAATGGCTTCCGATCCTCTGTATGCTTGGGAGTGGTGCTAACTCCCTTGGCCTCCTCCTCTTTCTCTTCCTTCGCTTGTAAATAGGGGGATACTTTTGCTTGTCCACTAGGGCCTTCTCGACCTCGAGTCCTCTCCTCAGCTGCCTTGTCTTCCGCTTCCTCCTTCTCAATCACGCGACCACTGGGAGATCCTTCTCCGTTTGTAGTCTCCTCCTGAGGTACCCTCTTGGGAGATGAGACTCCCTTTTCAGGACTGTCTTCCTCGGGTACCAGGCGCGAGATCGAGTAAAAAGCGCTGTCACGGATCTTGGTGACCTTGGCTTGTGCCTCGAAAGTCGGAGGAATGCGAGGGTGGGCGATCGCCGCGAGAACTCGATCTGTAGAGGTACAGACCGAACACTTGTCTGCTAGAAGCGGCCACTTCCAGCAGACCTCACACGTGGGCATACCCTTCGAGCCCAATGCTACGGTGAAAAGGTACCTAGTGTTGTGTTTACTCATGTGGCCATATGAACATACATATAATATATATATATACGTAACCTTTGCAACCTTTGCCTTAATCGGGCTCCGAAACACGAACACTAATATAGGTAACAGAAAGAACGAGCGAGTCTACAAGGTCTCCCGGACAGGTTCAAGTTCTTCCAAGGGGCAAACTCCCACAGTGGAGTGTCCAAAAAGCACTTCCGAGATGAGATCCGGCAGGATATGGACAGGCAGCTAGAACCCGGCCATTCACAGAGATCCGAAAGGTTTCGCCTTGAAAAACAACAAATGGTGTGACTGGCAGCGACAAGTGGATTCGATTCCAGCTGGCTGTTAAAATATTCTACAGCCTTGCGCGTTTTACTGTGAACAAGTGTTAAGGACTTTGCGACAAAAGAAACGATTACGAATAGAAACTGCCTCTTCGACGACGTGCGGAAAATTTTGGATGTGGGTCGAAGTGGGACGAAACAACCCCCCCCGAACATGAAGCCCTGCAGGGCAAGTCTCGGTATTTCAGCGTCGTTAACCTCGACATAAAGATTCGCAGCACGTCATCCACCTCCTTAGCCAAATCAATGCGGGCTTGTCCGCTTGCCATCCAGCTTCAGCGGGACGTGACCATGTGTGAGATGTAATATCGTGAGGTGTTGCATGCCCCATGTATCTGCCAAGCAAAACACTTAAAATAACAAGGGAAAATGGTAGGTCCAAAGTCTATCTATATAAGTATAAAATACAAATGATACCGAACATGTAGAAATAGAAAGGGCTTGGCCGAGCAACATACGCCTCAGCAGGTTCCCGATACTTCTCACGATCTTCCAAGCATGCCACACAACTCAACTCCCCAAGGCGGCAAACAGGTTCTGTGCACACCACCGGGCAAGAGACCGGATATTTCGTCAGCCTCGGATTTGTGCAGAAGCTTTTGTACATGGGAGTGTGTGTGGAAAGATCACGAGGGAAGGGTGGACTGATCACGTTTTCCTGCACCAGCTTTTGTTCACCTTTTGAGCGATTGTGAGGCCAAGCCAAGATCTAAATGATGATTACGTTCCACACATGGTCCACTACAGATTCGAGGCCCCTACCACTTCTCTCATATCGACGGTGCCATGGAAAGGACGTACACTTAAGAGGCTTGGGTTACATTAAAGTCCCCGTGTGTCAAGTGAATGCCTGAGTTGGCGACACCTTTGATGCCTTGGTTGTTCTAAAGAAGTCACAAGCCTTCGCGAGGCATGTGCATGCGTGCTTCTTGGGAATTCTAAGTCCAGACGGAAAAAATTGACTCGAGTCAAACTCACGGTTTGCAAATCAACCGTTGATTAGTGGCTGCAGGCGCCTGACCTGGACGTCTTCAGCACTAAGCTCTTCAGACACCGCTCAACACCCCCTTCCTTCCACGTGCGCGCGGGTGGGTGGGCAGGCGGGCGGGTGGGTAGGCGGGCGGGCGTGAGTGTGAGTGTGTATTTCCCAGTGTGTGTTATCTCCCTCCTGTCAGTAGGCGGCTGGCATCGTGTTTGGAATCAATGTGATTATAGCACGTGAACCATGCAAGAAGAGACCCCTCGGCTGCAGATCCAAGCAAGGACTATGTGACAAAGGCGGATTCGTCGCATTCCTTGTTACATACGCCCTCAGTAGCAGGAACAAGGGTTTGACATATACCTTTCTACCTCTGTATCTGCGAATCTTTGAGCTCTCAAAAGGCGGTCTGCGGTACACTTCTCGTGTCTGTGCGTTTCATGTCTTTGACATGTGGTCATGAGTGCTACTGCTATTGTTTCGCACTCTCCCTTGGAGTTGAGTGAGCGTTGCTTTCAACTCCACTTTCCTAATGTCCCACCACACTAGGGAATTCGTCATAGTCCATATACTCAAACATCTCTTCCATCAGTTCATACAGTCTCCCTGCTTGTCGACTGTCTCCTTCCCTGGTGTAATGGAACCAACTTGCTTCTAGAACCATGAGGTCCTGTCTTGCCCTCAAAGCTGCCCTAGTTCGCAGCCTGTTCCAGTGATTAAATTTCACTATTGGAATCTCTACAGGTGGAGGATGCCAAGACTCAGTCTCTGATCCATCCATCTCTACGTCATCATTGTCACTCTCAGCCGCTGCTTCATCTGCCTCTTCCATCGCGGCGTCTGGTAGATGTTCTGGATCAGCTGCTCCTTCTTCTCCCTTACTTGAACTTGGCCTTACCTCCACATACTCCTCAGGGACTTCAACTACTTCGCCACTGTCCAGCCTGACAGTGACCGTGTTCCCTGATAGCATTCTTTCTTCTCCTTCTGCTTCACCACTGCCTCTGGCTTCTTCTGCACTCACTGGGGGTGTTCTCGGTGGTGGTCTTCCTGCCGCTGCCGCTGCTGCATCAGATGCTGTCCTGTACGACCTATTGATGAAAGGTCGTCCCTCTCTTTCTGCTTGTCTCATTTTCACGGTTTTCCATTGCTCTGACAGCAGGACACCAGCTTTGACCCTGTTCCTGCCTTCAGGAACTCCATGTACTTGCGGTCATCGGGTTCAATCGAACTCAAATCCACAAAGCCCCCCGTTCTTGATCAGGCCCTCGTGCACCCTCTCGATGTAGTCGACTGCCATCGAGGTCTGTCTATTGTGCCAGTCGGCCCAATCGCTTTCACGGGCTTTCTCTTCTCGCAAGCTAATTTCTAGCTCTTCTACTTTGGTGGTGAGGGTTTTGACCTTCCCAAACAACCAAAACACCAAACCCAGTAGGAGGCCAATGCACAAAAACATCAACCACCCTTCTGCATTTTCCGAGTGGCTAGGCTTCTCCACCTCGGTCATGGGTCGTGACCCTGCAGCCAGCTCAAGACCGCCAACCAGGATGAGCCGGTTCAGGTACTTGGCGATCTTCATGACCTTGCCCTTCTCTATCCGCTGTGTGGCGTAGGTCTCATGCTCCTTCTCGCCAACTCGTCCACCATTGCCATCACGGGCATTGCACCAAAACAGCAATAGCTGGAGCCTATTGCGTCCCAGTGGTTTTGTCCCGATGTCAGCCAGGTTCAGGGCAGTGCTGATTTGCTTCACCTCTAGGGTTCCTTCAGCCACTTTGTCCTGGCACCACAACAAGCGTCCATTGATGTGCCGCAATCGACCACTTCCTCGTTTGCAGGCTATCTGACGTGTGGCTGAATTGTCAACCCAACAAACATGCTGGATCTCTTGTCCTGTGAGGAACTCGAGGGCATACCTTATGCAGATACCATCACACGCACCTGCCACTAAGGCATTCAGTTCTGACTCCGCTGAACTCAGCGAGACTGTCTTTTGACTGCGTGAGCTTGCGTGCACAATCACTCCATTCACTGCATGGATTGCTCCTGAGGTTGAACGTCTCGTCGACTTGCACCCGCTCCAATCCGCATCTGTAAAGGTCTCTAGCAGCCACTGCTTTTGCCCTCTCATCTGAATTCCTTCACTCCCTTCTCCCATGGCCAAGAGAATGCGCTGGCCTTCGGTCTCTTTCAGGTAGCCAATCATCCTCCTCATGTTCTGCAGTGCTCCTTCGGTGGGACTACTCGTCTTACTCGCCAGCTCTTTGATCACAAAGCTGAGATCGAGCCTTTCTTGCGACAAGTAGATGCCCATGCCAACAATTGATCGGAACACTGCTGCATCCGCTGGAGTAATGAGGTTCGTCTCGTCCACCTCCTGAATCTCTGCTGTAGCCGGCAATTTCTGTCTCTTCACCACTCCATAGCTCTCCTCAAACATCTTGATCATCTTGGCGGCATATTGTCCCGGCTTCACCAGCAGTCCTTCTTCGACCCACACATAGGTTCTTTTCAGGAACGTGAACTCATCTCCAAGTTTCCTTGCTATCGTGACCTCCACCTGAAAATCCTTCTTCAACTCCTCAACAAATCTGTCCACCACTTTTGACCGACCTGTGAACATGATGTCGTCCACATGAATCAACAGGTTCAGGGCCTTTCTTCCTTCGCCCTTCTTGCCCAAGCAGGGGTTGACCACGTCAAAAACAAACCCCTGGTTCTTGATCAAGTAGTCTCTGATGTGTTCATACCAGGCCTTTGCTCCTATTCGTTGTCCTGGCAAATTCTTCAAGACTTTATACTTGCCCAGGCTCGTTGAGATTTGCAGCGGTCTCTCTTGTGCCACTTGCAAGAAGGCATCTTTGATGTCCAGGGCTCCGATCACTGGATCACCAGTCTCCTCCTCATGGTAGTCCTTGCTTCTCATGTCCAATAAAAGCGCTGGGAGTAGCCGCAGGCTATAGCTTCCCGACGCAGGAGAGTATACATCATCTCTGCGCTCAACCGCGTACTCTCGGGCTACCAAACGTGACCTTCTCATCCACTGCTTCTTCTGCTGTCCATCTGGCATAGTTCTAGTCTTGATTCGCCAGTCTCGAACGAACTTGGTGGTGAGCTTGTCCAGGTAGAAGTCTTCGATCTTCAGGTCCTCAATAACTCCCATATTCTTCAGCCTCTTCTCTTCAATTTGATCCGCCAAAGCTTCAACTTCTTCGTTTGGCTGAGGTGGCGTCCTTGTCAGTGCCGCCTCACTCCATATCTCCTGTTGGTCTTGTTCTTGGGCCTCCATCGGAACATCCTCATCCACTTCTACCTCAATGGTCTCCGAGTCAATGACCTCGTCAAGGTGGTACATCTCCTCATCCCCAACGCATACCTTTTGGACTCTCCTTTCTACCATCCGTTCATGAGATGCCGCTCCAGGTGTGCTTGAAGATGATGTTCCAGGCCCTTCCCTCCTTGGTCTTTTTGCGCTCTCCTCCTCCAATCTCTGCTTCTTGAACTCTGGTTCTGCTTTCACTGCTGAAAGGGGTGGCGCTGACTTCTTCAATACTCTCCCTGCCGAGAGACTTCCCTGCTCCTCCCATGGCATAGGCAACGCCACCATGGTCGGCACTGAGCTCCTCTCCCCAGACTGATCTTCAGGAGCTGGGGTCGTTGGCATTCCTCTTCTTGGCTCTTCTTCAACTTGTGGAGCTCGTGGGGCTGGTTCGCCTTCCTCCCTTTCCTGTGCCAGCTGTTCCAGAGCTCTTGCTTCCTCCAACTCTCTTTGCGCTTCTTCTTGACCTTCCTTCGACTCTGCATAGGCCTGCACTGCTTCAGCATCCTCATCTCGATGCCGGAAGAGGATCATCTCCATCGGGGGAAAGTTGCCTGACTTCAGCGCTACTGGTCCCAGAGCCCGTTTCGTAGGGACAACTCTTCCACCGAAGCTGACTTGGTACTCCCATGTGTACGTCTGGAAGTCCTGGTAATAGGCGAGGAACTTGCTCCAAGGCCTATCCACCCGTCTCACGCTTCTCGTGAGCATCACCTGTGATCCATCGCCCACCAACCACGCATCCTGGCCTTCTGTCTTGCCCAGAAACAAGGCAAGGCGCCATTTGGGATTTCCTTTTCCTGTTTGCGGCTTGGTGTAGGCATAGACTGGGTTTCCAAAAGGGACCACCAGTCCATCATAGGTCTTTCCATGGACCAGTTCATAGCTTGTGATGCCCTTGCTCGCCTGATATCTGTTCAGCATCCAGCAGGCATGTCTTGCCGCCCAGCTCCATAGGCCGTGATTGGTATTCAGCTTCAGCCCCGTGTTCTTCATCAAGTACTCCATCACTGTAGCCGCTAGTTCACGAACTCGCTGGATGGCATTTTCTGCTAGTGAGTTGCCTGCTGAATCTCTCACTCGAGTGGTGTAGAGGCGTGTCCTCAACCCCATTGCATGTCTCGAGTTCAGGACAATGCGTAGAAGTGCCCTTATCGTTGGTTCATTGTCCCCATATAGTCCCACTTCGGTATGGCCCAGGTTCTGGATGAATGTCATTACCTCTCTGGCCATGATGTTCAGCTGTCCCTTCGACTTGAGCGGGACTGCCCCCAAATAACCTGTGTGGCTATCCACCATCATCAGCCAACACGCCTGCTTCACTTCTCGCAGTGGAACTTCTCCTCCTCCTGCTGGCTCTTCTTCACCATAGACATCCACTGCTTCATCGTCTGGGGGTCTTCCAGGCGGCCTCGGATTCCGGTCCATGGATCCTGCTTTGGTGTAGCAGAAGTCCAAGCTGATGATCGGCAATCCAGTCAACCTCGACGCGCCTGATCTTAAATGTCTGTCAGGTCTTCCACGGTGCATCAGGCAGCACTCACACCAAGGAGCATATGGTGTGTGTGTAAGGTTGTGCTTGTCCTGCTCCTCTTGACTTGGCACCTTGATCAAAGGTGGTGCTCTTGGCTGCCTGGACTCCTCCATCGGCGCTGCTGCTACAGCCTCAGCTGCTGCTTTCAACTCTCTCTCCCTCATGTGGGAGACCAGCCTCTCAAAGCACTTGCTTCGGCTCCCTGACTGGCTCACTCCGAAGAAGTTGCACGCTGCCCTCAACTGTCTCAGAGGTGACGTCGCACATAGCTCCACCTCATTCACCACGATCTTCTCAGGCAACACCTTGCCCACCACCAGTCTTCCTTCTTGTTCCACATCTGCTGGTTGTGGTACGTGTCCGTCTGCCTGATTCTTCTGCGCATTGGGCTCATCAAATGGCAACTCGTGCTCCTTAACTTCCAGTTGAGCTGGCGGCAGTGCTTCTTCTACCTCAAAACCCATCTCCTCAGTGCTCATGCCCTCTTTGGTTAAGATGGTGAGGACCAGCTGCTTCTCCGTTGCTCCTTCAATTGCCTCCTCCTGATCAGCCATTCCATGCAAGGCCTCACACATCTCCATGAGCAACCATTCTCCTTCCTTCTTGACCAAAGTGGTCCTCTTCCAATCCACCTTCGCTGTGATCTCCGGCACATACTGGGGAGTTTGGTACTTTTGAGCTAGGTGTACTCCGACCCAAGTATCCTGGTCTCTCTTCCAACCACCTTGGAATCTTACCTTCTTCTCCAGCTCCTCTGAAAGCTTGGCTTTGAAACCTTCTGCTCCTCTCGGTTCCACCTGTATGGCCCGGACACTCCCTTCTGCAATCAAACTCTTGTTTTGCATCTTCAAGGGAATTCTCACCTGTCCATCTCCAGGAGGTCCGAACGTCAATGCTGGTTGAGTTCCATCAATGCCCCAACCACTTGACATCATCTTACCAAAGGACAGGATTGGTTGTCCTATCCCTTCTGCAAAGTGGGCCTTCTCCTTGATCTCCACCTTGCGACCATCTTCTGTCTCAAAACAGAAGTTCACACTCTTGTAGCCCTTAATCTTGATGGCTTCCCCTTGTGCATCCTGCAGCTTCGGCGCCTCTCGACCAAGGGATGTGCCAACATCAATGTAGCTTGCTGGCAACACTGTGGCTTCCGCTCCAGGGTCTATCACTATGTCGCAGGAGTCCTCTGGCCCGCTGAACCACTCATCTCCTCCTTCTCTCACCATTCTGACCTCCATCAGAAGCTCCTCCTCTTCATCGGCCACATCTTCCTCGGCCATGTTGTAGAAGGCAATCATCTTGATGCTGTCTTCCATTCCTGCATCACCTCCCAGACCACGGAGGTCAAAAACTATCGGTGTGTTGAATTCTTGTGAAACTTCCTCAATCCTCTTGATCGCCGGCCTTGTAGTTGTTGCCTGGCCGCTCGAGGTTGAACTGAGGACTGTTGCTGATTCTGCTCTGTCTCCTCCTCCCGGGGATTCCGCCACCTGTCGAACTCGCCAACAGTCTCTGGCCAAATGCCCAGGTTTTCCACAGACATAGCATTCCCTCACTGGTTGTGTCTTCCCTTTACCTTTCTGCTGCTCTGCCTTACCGGAACTCTTTGAGCCTCCCTTGTGGGTTGACTCCTGTCCCTTCTGGCCTTTTCCTTTGGACTTGGCCTCCTTTGTATCTCCCTTACCTTTTCCTTTGTTGCTCTGCTCCTTCCCTTTGCCCTTTCCTTTAGGGCCCTTGCCCTTCATCTGCAGCCGGTCAATCTCCATGGGCACCGCTCCGTCTTTGCTCTCCTGACCCAGCATCATTGCACTGCTCCATCGAAGCGTAGCCCCATCATACTGGATCACTGCCTCACGGAGTTTGCTGTAGCTCTGACTCTCGGCCACATTCAACTGGAGCCAGGTCTTTAACTGACCTGAGACGCACTTCATCAGGATAGCAAACTTGATGTTGTCCTCCAGCCTCGATCCAGTGCGCTCGTACTCTGTGAAGCCCTCCTCCAACTTCAGCAATTGGTTGAGGAGTCCACCTTTCTTCATGTCAAATGGGCTCCACTCCAGCAGCATCGTCAGCAAGCCTAAGCTCCTGTTCTTGCTGGCCGGTTCTAGGCTCTGGATCAGCTGCCTGTAGGCCTCAAAGCCGTTGGCATTCTTCACCTGTTTGATCACCGCCAGTGGCCTTTGCCTCACCAACGAGGCTAACAGTGAGAACAGGAACATTCCCCTCTGCTTCACCTCGTCCGTCTGGATGCTCTGGTCGACCTCTCTCATGGGATGATCTCGAAGCTCTTGGAAGTCGTTGGGGAATTCTGAGTCTAGCGAGGCAAGGTATTGTTCAAGTCCCCAACTAAAGTCTCTCCACTGTGCTAGCTCATCCTCCCTTGACTTGGGGTCGAATCCAGCGGGCTTTGGAAGGACCTTGAACCACGATCTATCATCACCACCACCCGTCTTCCTTTCTAGAGCAGCCGCTGCGGCCTGTGCAGCCATACTAGCCGCCTCAGTTGCCATCATCATGCGGCGTGCAACCTCCGCTCCATCCAAAGCTGTTGCCGTTGGGGTGGATGGTTGTCCTCCAAGTCCAGCCATTTTCCTGCTTGGTTCCGGCTAGGTTGAGCTCCTTCACCTTGTAGCCCTGATCGTGTACTCCAGGGACCCTCTTGCAGTGATTGCGTGATCACCTCCTCCAAGAACCCTCTTGCGTTGATTGCGAGCTCTGCTGCAATGGCTTCAGCTGCAGCACACAGGCGCTCGCCCCTGGCGCCCTTGGGGATGCGGGTCCTGTCCCCAGATTCGCGAGCCTCACCCCTGACCTTCTGGAAAGGGGATCACCGGCTCCGCTACCATGCGAATCTTTGAGCTCTCAAAAGGCGGTCTGCGGTACACTTCTCGTGTCTGTGCGTTTCATGTCTTTGACATGTGGTCATGAGTGCTACTGCTATTGTTTCGCAGTATCAAATATACGTGGAAGCACATAAAACCAGGTCCCTCTGGCGCCAATTCTATAGTCTCTATTTCGATCTACTAAGCATCGTTTCTCAAACCCACTCCTCGAAAAGAGGTGTGTATTGCTGGCGCTTTTACCCTGGCTATCAATTGCCTGTGCACTGCTGGCGACTTTTCGAATTCTTTGCAGCCCACTGCTGCAGCCTGCTGAACTGCCTGACTTGACTTGTTCAAGGCGCACTTTGCCTGCAATGTCAAAACATTCAAAAACAGGGTTGCGTGCAAAGAACCACAAAGACCTATTGAAGACACTTGGGTTTTCATTTTACGCTTGCAGCCATGGAACACATATGGCAAGGCACCAAGATGCCGCACGTCAGAATGCGTTAGCACCTGGAACAGAGTTTCATCAAACAGCACATGACCACACAGAAACGACGACAGTACAAACACATAAGTACCAGAAAGCAAGAAAAACTTAAGTCAAGGCCTGTTTACAGTATCAAGCGCTGTGTGGCTGACAAGAACGACGAGTCACTGGATGGTTCACCCTACTTGTTATCCACGACTGTTGAGAAACTAATGCGTTGCACTGCGGACATTGATTCAATTTCAAAGCTTCTGTGCATCCCATGAAACGCTGCGGAGCATCTATCAAATCCAGTTCCTGCAAGTGAGGGATCAATGGTATCCTGAGTGCTGGCCGTTCGAAACAACCAACTGCACACGTTGGCAAGTCCTGCAAACACTTTGACCAAAACAGAAAATCCTGAAAGACCTTGGTCCACAAGGGCCCATGGTTGGCCAATCTGCAAAAAAAACGGTGGAACCACATCTCCTACAGGTGCGCACGTGCGCGCACGTGGGTGTGCGTGTGTGTGTGTGTGCCCCTTGTAGTCACAGGGATTCTTTTGAATTGTTTTCTTTTACAATGAGCAGGGGAGCGCGGCGTGATTGTGGGACCGCACTCAACGAAGCTACCACAATCACGGGATACCGAGTCTGATCAACTCGGCGTACCTGCAAGTTTCAAACCTTTGGTAAAGTGCTAATGCATCTGCAGTCACGCGCGTCACGTCGTCATGTCGACCTGATCGCCGCTTTCAGACTTGAGACTTTGGCCTCATCTCCTTTTGAAGGCCCCAGGCCCCCAGGTTCTCTTGGACCTTTCAGGATTTGGGTTTCTTAGGCTGGCGTGTGGCACCGCTGTCAAGTCAGTATATACGCATATCCATAAGTGTGTGCCCAACCCCGTTTCCAGGGGCGCTATCTTCCTACTACCTTTCGTCCTACTACCTTGCATCTACTTTTCTTCAACCCATTGTACAGTACACCGCAGGGGGTGGTAGCAAGGCAGATAGTCTACCACCAACGAAGACGCGGACTGATCATCTCAGCGTACCTGCCAACTGTTCAATCTTGAAGTGAAACTTAGACGGACTCATTCACTTTTTCCGTTCCTCGCAGGGCCATTTCACAGGTTCAGGTCTGAGCGCTCTAAACTGGAATTGCAGTAACTAATCCTAAAGTGTTAATGCTCACCGCGCATCTCTGAAGCGCAGCTCCGCGGAGCACTCATCTTAAGTGTGATTCGCATCTTCTTCCCACTGTGGTAAGCTGTGTGAACCCCAAGGGGGCGCCGTTACTGAGCCTCTTACTCCTTCATTGGAGAGGGTCCACTGTACAGTCCATTGCGGACCTCAGCCAACCGAAGCTGAATTTCTTGCTCGAAGTATGACTGATGCCAACGTTTCACCTCGGTACGTATGAATCTTGCTGCAGAGCTTACTAAATATACACATCTGAATACGTTTCACCCCAGGAGATGTCCAATTCTTTTAACTTCTCAGCTTTCAATCCAGATTTCAGTACAACTTGTTCTTGCAATAATCTCTTTTCTTACCACACTGACCGCCCTGACTGTCCTACATGTTTGACAATTTTAACTTTTAGTTTCGCCGCGTTGATTGACTCTTGCAGACGCCATGTCCTACTACTGGCCATACTATGCACATCCTCCACCGGTACAACCGCAGTACTCTTTGCCGGTAGCATTCACCACAACTCAGGCTCCACCACAATACCACTTACCTCCAGCACATCAGTCAATTCCTCTCCTGTTACCTCATCCAGCACAACCCCAGTGGCTTCCACATACAACACAGCCCATCCCCTCAACACACCACCCATCTTTCACAGCAGTGCCACAACCTCCCCCAACACAAAACCCATCTCACACACTCTCTCACACACCCCAACAGTATGACATCAGATACAATCCACTCCATCAACCACCACAACAGTTACAACCGACTACTACTACTACTACTCCTCCCCCTCAGCATCAACCTCGCACAGACACTCAATTGGCATCCATCCACTTCAACAGCGCCCCACCACAACCCATCACCAGCCACCACAACCGACACTGCAGCCACCACACAGCAGACCACACCGCCACAACCACAACCACAACCACACCCTCAATCCACACCACCCCCTCAGCACAACACTTCACTTCCACAACCTGACACCCGTCAGCCCTCACCGCCACCTTCCCAACCCACCACACGGACAGCTCAATCTCAGACAGACAACCCTTCACCAGTCGGAAAGACCTCTTCGACCCACACTTTCCATCGCACCCACATTTCCACTACCAGAGGTCTTTGGCGAGACCCACAACGCTCACCACCCCGTGGCAGCCACAGATATCGATACTCCGCCTTTCCCTGTACGGCAGCATCCGTGAATTGAGAAGCCACCACACGTTCACGTTCCAGATCCCATCCCACGCGACAACCTCAGTCCACCACAACAAGGTCTCGCGCACCACCTCCACTGACACCACCGGCAACACCACCTCCACCACCTCCACCCCCGAACCCACACCTCTCACAGTCCACACCACTCACACTCAACACCGTACAGCGAATCAGCTCGATCACTCACCACTCCAACGCCCAGCGCACCATCGAACACACCTCACAAACCACTTCCACCCGTTCCAACTCTGGAACCAACACCAGCCCAACCACCCAACATGCCACCCCCACGTTTTCGCGAACCTGTCGATCCAGAAAAAAAGCCATTTTTCAATGGCTCAACCAACATTCCAGCTCCATGCACATGCGCAACAAGCACATGCTTGCATACGTCGCCAGAGTCTTAGCAGCAGCACACCTCAACACCACTCACTTCACAAATTTTAAACTACTCACCCAGTCAAAAAATGGATGATGAAACCAAAGCCTATGTGGACCACACCTTTTTTGTCCTCGTCATTCCAGCTCTCGCCAATCGTGGCGATTCACCTCCAACTCTTCGAGCACCACTTAACATGCCAGCATTGAAGCACATTTTGCAGCACACGTGAATGAAGAAGGAAATATCATGTCCATTCTGCAGGCCGGCGAGATTGCACGCTCGACATTGCATGACACTGACAACGTCGGCTTCTTCACCCAGGCCTTTGAGCTCACGAACAACGAAGACCGAGATTGTGCCGAAGTTACCCCTGTTCTTTTTAATGCTTCGGACATGAGCAAGAACCGCAGCGGCCTGATTTTAACGCTCAAGGCCTATGGCCAAGGCCAGAAACTCACACGTGGCGGCGAGTCAGCCGCAAATGGACTGTTGTTGAAAGGTGAAGGAATAGTCAACTATAAACCCGCAAGATGCTGGATCATTCATCCGAAACATTGACGTGTTGAAGGCGTCGTGTGGCGCACAGATGACCGCCCGCCCCTTAGTTTCATTTAATTCATCCACTCGCACCAAAGAGTGCCTTCAGTCACACCCGCTCTGTCAAAAACAAGACCTTCTAACAGTCGCATCACACGAGCGACTGCCATCGACTCCGTTGAATTGTTTTTCACTCTCTCACGGATTCGCTTCTGCAAACACATGTACAGCCTTGTCCTTTCCTCGTTATACAATCAGACATTGCTCGTTGATCGCAACCCAAGATCCCTGTCCCACAGGCGCAAGGTTTTTCAGACCGCAGCCATTTACATCAGAATCAGGGCTTTCCTGGATCCTTGATTCACACCATACAAGCCGATAGCCATGACCTCACCCATTGACATTCCGCTGGCGCACAGGCTGCTCTTAGCACATCTACAAGCTGCCACATCCATGGCAACAGCATTGCAGAACCTACCTTTTTTCAATTTCCCAGCACAACCAACACCTCCACCCCAACCACCAGCACCACCGACACCTCCCCCACCTTCTCATTCTCCTTACACCACAACACCGCCCATCACGCAGCCGCAGCCCTACACCCACACCCTCACACTTTGTCCCACCATTCAACACACGCAGCTGCAAAAGCGAACCACCACCCACCACACCACGAGCGCTATGGGCCAGCCAATCTGGTATGGCCTGCTGAATAGATGTAGCCGCCACACAAGGCCACGAACGAGCGCTTGCGATTGCAAACTTCAGTCTGGAAGGCTTTGAGCCGACACTCTCGCAATCTTACAAAATGCTCGAAGGTTTGGAAAATTCCCGTTTGGCCTCCCAGTGCCAAAAGAAACATCGCTGCTTGGCCAAGGCTCAAGAGCTTTGGGTCCAAGGATTCCGTCCACCCACAATTCAGCAGCACTGTGAGACCTCACTGTAGAGCTCAACAAGGCACCTCAAAATCTCTCACCCCAACAACTTGTATAGAAGCAGTGGCGCACCTCCGAGCTTCAGGATGCTGCACTGCCTCAGGTGAATGCACGTTGATCCCTATGGGCAAAACCACTCCATTGAAGTCAGCCAGGCATCTTGGTCCACACATCGAACATCTGGATTCAAAGCTCATATCGCCATTCGAGTCTTTATGGTATGGGAGTTCGCACGTGTTACCGCACAAATGTCTTTGCAAGGCCAACAACCCAAGATACCACAGGTTAATCACTGCCAATTTGTGTTGTGCGTTATGCCATCAGCGACCCCAACAAGCATCAACAAGCTATATACAAGAAACCGTAAACGCAAGTAAGCTCAATACACCAGGCCGTCCTTTCATTTCTGACCGCGGCGCTGGCCATACATGTGGTCAAGTGTGGGATTTTGGAGGGGCGCGAACCTTGATGTATCTACACCCTCCAAAATGGCATGCTTTCGTCGACCAACCTCACAAGACTTGGGGCACATCTTGTACAAAAAACTCCTTGGGGCGGGGTAGAGGACGCTACTAGGAGCAAAGGGCGTGGCTACTAGGAGGCTACTAGGGGCTCCTGGCCTTTCTACTAGGAACAAGGACACTACTAGGAGCTTTTTTAGAGTGCCTTACTGTGGTGGAGAGCTCCGAAGCCGAGAAAGACATGACCGCCCACACTACACGCAGACCCATGCAGCCAAGCAAACCATTCCAAAGAATCCTCGTTGAAAGAGCAAATAAACAAACTAACAAACAAACAAACAAGCAAGCAAGCAAGCAAGCAAGCTAGCGCTGCTAAAATCTAAAGGGGGGACAAGTATTGACCCTTTACGCAACAACTGTTGAGCTGCTGTAGCAAGGTTCATAAACAAGCGGGGGTATTTGGACGCTAGCTGCCTGTTCGGGTTGTTGTTTGGCCCGCTCCTTGGAAATTGGCAGAAGTGCAAAGTCCATGGCAGAACGTGCGTCTACGGAAATTAACAAGAAACAAGTGTATATTCTGTGGGTAAAGTCCCTTCAAGGCTTGTGATGTTGGCTGTGGAAGTCATGTCAGGTTTCTGATGTTGAGCTGGCCGGTTGTTCAACTGTTGCACATGCATATACAAAGTCAGGCTTCAGAAGCTGGATCAGGCCCTACTTTGAACAAATACTTTGGGCCTTGTCTACTGGCAAAGCTATCTGTTGTAAGCAATAACACAAGCAAAAAAGGTTGAGAAAATGCTTGCACAACTTGTAATGCTGGTGGACATAGGAACATTGCAGTGGGATGTTTACCTGGAACAATTTCGTTGTATATAGTATTTCTATGGCGCTGCGCTTCCCAAAAACACGTCTGCCGTCTGCAGATGTCTGCAGTGTTGGCCTCTAGCTGGCTACAGCACAGGAGCTGGCCCCACCCGGTGTGGAGAGTTCAATGATCTAAAAAAGGCACGATTGGAGGCTGCAAAGAGCGGAGGATGTGCAATGTAATTGCCGTGATGAGCCGAACACAATTGCAAGTTTCCTGCCTGCATCAAACCAAACAACCTAGAGTTACTGCATTGAATGAGTTGCAGTGATTGAAGGTTCACAAAAAGTCTATCAAGTAACAGTAGCACAGTCTCCACGGACAGCAAGAACAAGCAATGAAAAGGCATCAAAAGAGCTAATGCTGTTGTGCACGACAGAAGCGGGTGCTTTATAACCCTTATCCGACCACAATTGAATTTGTTGCAACCTTTATCTGCGGTCAGCCAACTGCATCATCCCAAATTGTGAAGTTGGCCAGTCTTGTAGGACGCTCTTTTGGGCCCCTTCTCTCCAGTGGTCTTGCAGCACGCTCTTATAGCACACTCTTGTGGAAAGCTCTTGTGGGACACTCTTGGAGGGCAATCTCGTGGGAGACTGTTGTGGGACATTCATGCGGGGCACTCTTGTACAGCACCGTTGCAGAACACTCTTGCGGGGCATTGCGGTAGCCACTCTTGGAAGGCACTTTGCAGGAAACTTTGGTGGGACACTCTTGTAGGGAATGTTGTAAAACACTGTTGCAGAGACACTTTTGTGGGGCAATGGGACCCTCTTGTGGGACACTCGAGGACACGTTTGTTGCTTGTGGGACACTCTTGCAAGATACACACCACACAGCGCCAAAGAGTTTCACCCGAGCCTTTGAACAACTGCACGCCAATCCCAATGGCACGGCGACAAACACCTGCACCAAAGGTCGCAACATCCAGGTTTTTGGCACCTGCGACACAAATTGCCACCAGCACCTCCAACACACACAAACTATGCCACTCTAGCAAAACTGGCACCACACCACCCGTCTGGAAAGATTCGACAGTTTGTTGCTCAATTTTTCCGCAGACTTGCCATGAAAACAGAGTTTCGATTTAAGCGTTTCAGCGGAGAATTCCACAGACACAGCGACCTTCAGTATCTTGAAAACACAATGTTAGAACGCCAATCTCAATGCCACGGCGGTTCAAAGCGCTGACCGCACGAGCAAAATCATCCTTCACACTTCGGCATCTTACGTTTCTGCGCTCTTTCACGTGAATCTAAAACTTCATTTGTCCATCCAAGACCTCCTCCAATGCTTCTTCAGCCGCAAGTTTTCTTCTTCACAACGCTCTACCCTCGAAGCCTGGGAACTACATACGTACATACGTACATACGTACCTATAGTGAACTAGCGAAACTTAGAACATCAAAAAACAAGATCATCAAAAACCATATCTTAGAATTTTCATCCAAGGGTTGGCAAAATCTCCAAAGTTCTAAGTTTCATCAGTTAGAACATGCACCAGGGGTTCATTATCATCTTACGGTTGCAGTTTTATCTCCTAAAATAAGACAGCGCGCTGGACACCAAGTTATATATATATATAGTGACCTTCAAGATACCGCTTGTTTCTAAGTTCTCTTTCTTTTTGATGTCTAAGTTTATAACTTAGAACATGTTTCCAGGAGTCTCCAAAAAATCCAAAAGTATGTTCTAAGTTTCGTTTATTCACTATACATACATACCTACCTACCTCCATATATACATACACATTGCAGACGTTGAGGTTGAAATTTGAAAGCGCTTCCTTTCTACCACAGAGCGCACAGCAATCTCTCTCTTTCTCACAGCACAGCAAGCTTCACAAAAGTGAATTAACAAGGGTTATATGGAACAACAGGCGTTTGAGCATTCAGCGCAGACTTCTTGGGCGGCTTTGAACGTCCTGAAAGTACTGTGCTTGCTGTGAACATAGGAGTACAGATGTATGATATATATATATACACAATTGCTTAACCTGAAGTAAACCAATCGCATCCGTTTGACCGCGGATGGGAACAAGACGCCCCAATCCTTCAAGGCCGGCTGTTCTGATGAAATTGCGCGCTTGCCCACTGCAAGATTATCCGTGGCGCTCGTGCTCTTTCTTGAACTCAGACACCCTGCATAATCTGCATCGATGTGGAACCAGTGAACAAAACCGCGGGCGTGAATGCACGTGTCTCGCGCCACGCACGCTTGAGCATCTGCTGACCTGCAACCTTCACAGCCAATCTCGAAAAAACAACTCAACGTACAGGGTCAGCTTCCAGCTCAATTCCACGGTCATTCCACGTCAACAGACGGTTCAACGATGATGTTCAATGCCCTTTATGCCAGAGGCCCCATGACCCATCAGACGTCAATCGTCCAACGCTTCTTCAACTCCCCACAAACCGTTCCATCGTGACGCGCCAACGCCGGTGAAATCGTCACCATGAACCGCAAGCCTAAACTGCTTGGCATCATGGAAAGCATGAGTTTGACCTAGCTTAGATAGAACCGCAAGTCGCGCCACACACCGAGACCAGCAACCTCCTTCTTGACACTCATGCAGTGTTGTCAGAAATCTCTTAGCACAGCCAGAGTGAAAAGAACGCACAAGGGTGCGCCTGCACCACAACTACACCACAAAAGTCTTGTCTGTGGCGCTTCAGAATTCCACCTACGTTCCAGTTTGTGGTTGGTCTTTGCACGTAATCAACACACTCTCCAAATGGCGGCAAGGAAATAATTCGGCCCTATTCTCTTGAACGGAGTGAACCCATGCTTGGAAGACTCATCGAAGGCGAACAAGGCATACAGCGCGCCCACGCTCAATCAACAACCCAGACTGGTGACTTGGGCCAATGGCCTTCCCTGTGTTGCGCTCAACACTGTCTGAGAGCGTGGGCCAACCCTTGAGCAATCCCAACTGTGAGCGTAGCCTCACCATTGCTCACGCCACAGGAATCATCCTTGAAGATGACTTGAGTTGACAGTCAATGCGCCGACTGGCCAGTGTGTTCTTGAGTCTTGACCGCAGTCGCCGATGCCAAAATGGCTGGCTCTTGATCTGACGCGATGATCAACTTTCAACAGCACAAAAACTGATGTCCCCAAGTAGCGCTGCTTCCGAGTGAAAATATTCAGCACCTTTTGATGGAACAAGGTGGTGAAAACTGCCTTGGTGAAACGGTTGCGCGGCGCAAGACCCGCGTCCAAGGACCACCAACAGCGTCTTGCGGAAGCTCAAGGGGCGTGCTAGACAAATGCTTGGAGCATGCCGAGGGTTACATGCTTCCATTGCTGATTCAGCATTCCTTTCAAAGGAAGTTCTGTGACAAGATTGAGCAGCTGAAGGGTGAAAGAGCCAAGGCGAACGTTATCCAACGGCAAGAGCGAGAAGCCAGGGCGGCCTACTTGAAGATGGTGGGGGGAGCTCCAGGGCCACAGGTTTCAAGGACAGAGCGTGAGAGGTCCAAGACCCAGGCCCTATCTCAGCTTGCCAAGAAGAAGAGTTTCAAGAAGAAGAGAGGAAGTTTGAGGAGTGGGAGAGGAAGTGGGAGACAAGGAGAAGCACACAACACTCGGGATTATGATCCCATGTTGATCTCGTGGTTTGGCAGCCGTGGGGACCGAAATCCTACAGTGCCGGTTCAGAACCCGTCCTGGACGTGGGCATTCATTTCCACACAAGGAGAGTGGATCGCGCAGTGGATGACCGGTCGCTTTTAGTGATTTCCATAACTGCGCTACTGGGGTTGATGATCTTCCTACGCAATCTCATGCTGGTTCTATTGTTCCACAAAAGCGTCTCCACGCATCCATTCTTGATTTTTGTCTGCTATTGTACACTGTGTCTAGGCATGCCCCCTGTCAAGGAAACTAGAGTGACTAGAGCAACATCAAAAAGAGGATCAATACTAAATGTCCTCTATGGCGCAAGTCCAAGCGAGAATGTCATCTGAAAAGACATCTTCAGCCTTGCCACGTGCCCAATCTAAGGCGCTTTGGCATGGGGCCCATCACGTCTCGAATTGATATGACCAGCTCTTCCATCTGTGCCCTTGACGGTGTCAGGCTTTCCAATGCCATTGACATCCACTATACCTGGCTTCTTTGTACTTTGCAGCAGCTTGCCTTCCATCCGGCAGTGGCTTTCAGGTCATCTCTCAGCTTGATAGGTGAACCAGTTGGACGTGCAAATGGCTGACCTCCACTCATTGCTTTGGAAGCTCAAGAGACAGCCTATCCAGCAATGACCTGGGATATAGTTGGAGGCACTGCCCAATGTGACCAAAGTACCTTTGAAGCCTCCTGACACGCAGGAGCTTACGGAGCCTTCTCAAGTCCAAGATGAACTGTGTTGCACCTTGGATCAGCCCTTTAGATGATTGAAAGTTATTCCTTTCTATCACAGAGTGCAAAGAAATCTCTCTCTCTCTCTCTTTCTCACGGTGCAGCGGGCTTTTCACAACATGAGCTAGAGGTGACACATGTTTGCGTACATACATAAGAAAGCAAAACAAACATAGCATAGCTATGAAATTACATTGCATTGCATTACATTATATACACTGTGTTACATTACATTACACGACACGACACGACCCGACGCGACACGACACGACACCACACACATACATTCATACATACGTATGTACTTGCTTGCTTACTTACTTGCTTGACATTACATCGCTTTACCCTACAGTACATTGCCTACATACTACATACACACTATATAAAACCTTACTGTGTCTCTCTTTAAGGAAAAAAGTCCTATGTGCCTTTCTGTTGTACTTTGTTGTCTTCTCACCTACTGGAAATTCTGTTCTCAGTAACGTGCCCTAGCTGAAGTCTTAAAACTGGAAGATGGAGCACGCTGCGAAGTTCAAGCACATGTATGCCAGGTAGGGTCAAAGGTGCAATATGTCGTCTTAATGTGCAAAGGTTGAAAGAACTTCCGGCTTTATAGGCAGTGGATTGGGTTCCCACAATTCCAGTTGACAGTTACATCCGTTTATGCGGGGTGGCACAGCAACACTTATATACTACAGTAAAAGTGCATAGCTTATTGCACAATACTATAAAAAGACTGCAAGACATTGTTAGCCAATCACCAAACACCAGGAGAAGGACTTGTGAACACACTCCGGCGAAACTGGCACTCATTCAACCGGGAAAAGCGTCACCGTTTTCAAGTCTACTTGGAAGCTCATCGAAGGCCATGTGCCCCAGTATGACCACTAGTGCGGCTTTCTGTTGCAAAGCTCAATTATATAGAACTCAGAACTTGCAGAACCTGCTGATCAAAACGCACGCAATTCTTTTTGGCCAGTCCCCCTCGACAACGTTGCAAATCTTCACAGCAGACCGTCGCCGAAACCGCCAAGAAAAAGGACCTTGCAACGGGGCACCACTGGCGCACCAAGTCCGAAACATTTCATCCCGCCTTCAAAGGATCAGGGCAAGGTTTGTGAGCTCAAACATGCTTCCACAATCCACAGACGGCCGTTGGCTTGCTGCTCTTGAACAGTCTTTATCGTTATATAAAAGAATGGTTTGAGCAGGTTAGTGGTACATCACACTTTCAGCCCTCGATGCGGAAACTGATTTGCTGAGCGGCAATCCCATCTCATTCGAGATCTGAAGAGAGAATTTTGGAGGAAGCTGCCAAAGCAAGGACACCTCAAGATCCCATAGGGCAGCCGTCGCTGTACTGTTCTTTCTCAGCGCGGGAACACAGCCGCTTGAACTTAGTCAACTTTGTCCGTTACTTGGGTTGGCGAACAATGTCTTGCCCTCACTCCACCTTTTGACTGCCCTCCAACACTTCATGCCTAACATGCTTTGCTCCAAAATCCCTGGATGCAAAGTTCTGTGCTAATGTGCCAAGTTGGTTATGAAAAGTGCGCAATGTTTGTTCTCCCAGAACCTTGCGTTAAGGATTTGCACCCGGCAGGCCACCACAAAGAAAACTTGTTTATTCAATTTACTGTAGTGTGCAGGTGGGCGGGTGTTTCACAGTGGGATAACACCCAACCCACACAGACACTTTGGTTGAAGAACAAACATCATACAAATGTCCGCGGATATTACTTTGCTTGGCATGTAGGTTGTCCAAGCTCCTACAAAGACTTGTGTGTTGCACATATTTCTCAATGTGTGTTCATAGCCCCTGGTGCTGCGCACGCAACGAGCCCCTGAATCGCACACGCGCCCCTTGCTGCAAAACTCGCGTCGAATCACAGTCAACATCGCCTGTAAACATTGACCAGGCGCGCCATACAGGTAGAAGAACCCTGGCTCAAAAATACGTTCAACAACTCAGCACGATCCTGTTCAAGTTTATATGTCTCCAAGTATAAAACAAACGTCCGACGAGTTCACGCTGTCTCAATGGGTCAGCCAACCCTGGTTTTCGCGCGCAAACACCACAAACCTTTTCAAGGAACGAAACTTGTCTTGCGTGGGCGCGACAAATCCGCTGTAGACTGGAAACCTCCACTGTCTGTCAGTGCAACGCCAAATATCAACCCAGTTTTCACACGCACGCTCTTGCGTTTCTCACCCACTTTGTACACCTACACTTTGCACCACGTGATAGAAGCTACCAGCTAGTTTCAGGCTTTGCGCTCAAAACAACCTCGTCCTCAGAAAACAATCCCTTGATATCTTCAATTTGCTTACCTGAACCTTGGCCTGCCTCTGTATTTTTGCATTGTACAAGATTTGTTTTCCTTGCGGAGAACCCTCCAAGGCGCCAAGCTGAGGTCTGAAATTGCAGTGGTCATGTCCTTGCGCAACTTCTTTAGAGAATAACCCCGCCTTTCTTCTTCCAACTAAACAAAGTCGGAAATGGGCCAAGGCAATGCAATAGGGCGGGCGCGGCCATTTAAAGGCAGCAAAAGCTGGGAAGGCACACGTTTGCGCAATATTTCCACATAGCTGCACGGTATGGAGCCGCACTGTTTTGCATACAATCACTTTGTAGGCATGTCCATAACATCCCCCACTTCCGACTTTTCATAAACCAAACACACGTAAACAACTGCCCAACGCAGACTCTGCACAGGACAGACAGAGGCAGAATCGAACCTAGATCCTGCACAGTACATTAGCAAAAGGCCGCCCGCCGCCCAGCAGAAGTTCGTTGTCCAAGGCGCTCTCACAGCTGGCACGTGATCAACACAACTTTCACCCCCAGCCCCTTCGTACCAATTCTTTAGGTTTCATTGGGCACGCGAACTCCCTGGTACTTGGTTGTTTGTTTTGGGTTGTAGAAGTTTTTCTTAGTTGCACCTTGTTATCTACAACTAACGCAGGTTATACATAGGGCTATATAGGCTATATAAATCAGTTGCAGAAGCCGTAAGTTCCGTATGTTTGGCAGCCATGTTTGTGGAAACTGTATGTGCCTTGGCATACATGCGGTAATTGCTAAGTTCGACGAGCGCAAAACAAAAACCGCGTTTTCAGTTAAAGTTATCTCGGCAACAGACCCGAAACAGTGTGTCTAAAGGTCGCAGGTCTAGAGGTGTAGCAAAGGTCCAAAAATCTAGACACACTGGGTTCCAGAGAGAGGTGATGGTGGTGGTGATGATGATGATGATGTTGATGATAATGACGATAGTGGTGGTGATGATGGTGGTGGTGATGGTGGTGATGGTGGCGACGATGGTGGTGATGATGATGCTGATGGTGGTGATGATGGTGGTGGTGATGGTGATGGTGGTGATGATGATGGTGGTGGTGATGGTGGTGGTGGTGGTGGTCGTGATGATGATGGTGGTGAAGGCCGTGACAGTAGCAGCGTCATCATAGTAGTAGTAGTAGTAGTCGTCGTCGTCGTCGTAGTAGTCGTAGTCGTAGTCGTAGTCGTAGTCGTAATAGTAGTAGTAGTAGTAGTAATAGTAGTAGTAGTAGTAGTGGTGGTAGTAGTAGTAGTAGTGGTAGTAGTAGTCGTAGTGGTGGTGGTAGCGGTAGTGGTAGTGGTAGTGGTAGTGGTAGTGGTGGTAGTAGTCGTAGTAGTAGTAGTAGTAGTAGTAGCAGCAGTAGTTGTTGTTGTTGTGGTAGTAGTAGTTGTTGTGGTGGTAGTAGTAGTTGTTGTTGTAGGGGTAGGAGTAGCAGTAGTAGTACTAGTACTAGTACAGTCGCAGCAGCAGTCGTATGGCGGTGGTGGTGGTGGTGGTGGTGCAGTGTAGAAGCCCTTCGTCGAAAACAAAGTACAGTACACGTATATATTCTCAATCAGCTTCAAAAAACTGTCGCTGAGACTGCCGGCAAGCCGCTGCAAAGAGTGCACCTAGCTGCCGGAACAAAGCGCACACCTGTCAAGCTGGCTGGATCGGATCAACATAATAACGCTGAAGTGTTCAGTGTTCAGGTATTTTTCATGTATGCTGCAAACATCTGAGAGCATGTTTCGGAACGGCAATTTTTGAGATTGCACCGAGCGTCGAATCCGCTGCCAAGCTTGGTGAACAGCGCTGCAGACCACACGTGTCCAAGGCTTTGCAACAAGGAGCTCACATAGACCCTGGGAAAAAGACAGGGGTCCTAGGATAGATTCAAAGGCCCAAGCCTAGTGGCCAAATCGAGAGACTGCGGGGTGTGCGTTTGGAAGCTTGGAAGAGCAAGATGCATAACAAGATGTCAGTGCAAAGAGTCCTTCTGCTCAGGGTCTGCAAAGACAGAAACAATTGAAACAAAGGTCTTGGCAACAAGTGCTTTTGCGTATCTGTCGCCTTTACATTCTGCACTCAATGCCAACTCTTGACGAAGCAGGCCCAAAATGTCTCAAGTGTGGTCATTGCAAAACGACCCGCCTGCCATCGCCCATTGATGAGCACCTATTCCAGTCTACTCCCCATATGACAGACATCACGTTCACTGTACCCGCCTTCTTTCCACTGCGCAACACCACTAAAAGACATATATTCTGCTGCGTGACTCTGCAACTTCAACGCTGCGCCAACGCGGACCATGCCTTCCCAAAAAGCGGAAGAGAGAAGCACTATAATCAACCTTGGCGTCAGCAATGAGTTCAACGTTGATAGTCTGCTTGAGAGGGCCTTCGGGATACATACATTCATTCATGAGTGCTTTTGCTATCATCGTTGGCGCTGTGCTGTTCCCTACGAGTCTACATCTCCACCTCTTTAGCGCTGCCAAAAATTCATGCTGTCTTGAAACGGCAAAACTGTTGACATACCAAACACCACAAATCACGCAGTGATAGTGATAGTCCTTGCGAGAACTCCACGGCAGCAGGGGTGCACCAGCATTTCCCAGACGGCCATGTATGGAATGGTCAACCCCTTTTTTAAAGAAAAGGGGACGCTGTGGGGTCGCGCTTTTTTCTATGTTTTACACACAAAGTCAGCCAAAAGAGCATGTGATCAAAAGACAAAGACATCTGCTTTCTCACACACACACTTGTTAAGTGGCACAATCTGCTGGGAAGGTATCAAGAATTTAGAAACAACCACAAAAAATCAAACAAAAAACAAAGAATCTCAATTTCCAAAAAATCAAAAAAATCCAAAAAATCCAAGAAGTCCAAAAAATCCAAGAAATCCAAAAAAAAAAAATCCAAAAAAACACATCTATTCCTGAGCCAAACATAGGTCTTGTTATTTTGGATTTTTTGGATTTTTGGATTTTTTGGATTTCTTGGATTTTTGGGAATGCCTCCATCAATCAATCATCACATCTCCACACAAAAGTAAAAATCACGCATGAAATCTCTGCCACACCATCCAATGTCAAAAATTCAACTGAAAATCAGGCATTATCTTCTTTCCAAATGCCTCTTTGGCTTTGCAAAGACTTCTGTGTGATAGATTTTGTGATCTCAAGGCAATCTGCTCTGCTAGTTGCGTAGTACTTTGTGTCCTCACATGGCCGTGGACCCTGAGAATATGAGTTTGACTTTGGCAATCGATGCTACGGAGCATCTCTTGCTCAGGGAACTACCTGCTCACGTCCATGTCGGGCCTCTTCCGCAAGGCTTGGTGACCCCATTAACGCTGCCTGTGAAGGAGCGTCTTGCCTTGTGAAATTTTTATGATTCTAAAAAATTTGGTATAGTTAGCGTAACTCGCGGAGACGAATTCTTTTGGATAGATTGAAAGATACTTGGGTTGAACCCTCAAAGTGCATCGATCAAGCATTTTCTCGACATCATCTACGATGTCAGCCATGAGCACATCAACGTCGAGAATCTCAAGGCAGTCATCCGCGATAAGGCATGGCATGAGCTCCCTCCAGTCCTGCAACTCAAAGAACGCCCTCATTTTCAATACATTTCCCACTACTTTGTGCTCACTCAGACCGACGGTAACCTCTGCCTGGTGAAGCACTACTATGTGAAGGACGACAAGGTCAAAGGTTCCTACATTGCTCGTCTGCTTCAAGGTCGTGGCTTTGAAATCGGTTGGGCCAAGGTGAACAAGCAACAAGCCCGTCGAGGCCTGCAATACAAGCTGGAACAGCTTGGAGGACATCAATTTCGGCATTTCTCTCTTTCCGCTGAAAAGCGAAAAGCATCGAGTGCGGTGGCTGCGTTGCCGGAAGATGAGCAAGACGCAGGATGGGATTTTATCATTGCCAATGGAGAGCGGGACCGCAGCAATCTGAGGCAACTGCGGTGGATCCTACGTCTGGCTGGCTCATGATCTGTGATCCTCGTAGTGGCAGAATCTTGAACATAGCAGTGATGCATGAGCCCGAGCAAAATGAAGACCCCATTCACATGCTGCAGTCCATGCTATGGCTATACCCTGCTTTGTATATGACCGCGCGTGCTCCCTCAAACCTTCCGCAGAGGTCACACCTGGTCTGGAGCAAATCCAGTATTACATCGTGGACAAGTTCCATGCCTACCGTCATGGCACGCAGTGCTCTTGCAACAACCCCCGCATCTTGGCAAATCTGCATACCTTGGTTGTTTCATTGATTTCATCTGCTTAGCAAACTCTACAACTTACCCAATGTCAAGAGAGTCAGAAAGTATTAAATTCACACTAACAAACACCAACCAAGATTGCCTGGACACCTTAGGTATCAAGAGATCGTTGGGACAACGTGTGAAAGGCGTCAATACCAACTTGGCAGAGCAGGTGTTTGCCTGGTTCAAGAACTATGCCCCCGTGATCAATGAAATGCGTGAGAATAGGCATAGATTTCTACTTTTGTGGCTCGCAAAGAGGCACAATGATGCACTCCTACATGGCAGCGCCTCATATCTTCGCTCCATCCCCAACAGCAAGTCCAAGACGACAAGCAAATCGTACAATTGCTCCAAGAACAAGAAGACTCCAAAGGGAAAGAAGGTGAAGAAGACCACCATGAAGGGAATGAAGGTAAAGAAAGTCATGAAGGGCATGAAGGTGAAGGGGATGAAGGTGAAGAACGCCATGAAGGCCATGAAGTGAGGCGCTTGAGTAGAGACAATTTTCATGTGCATGTGATCACGTCGGTCACAGCTAATACAAAGACGCAAGATGTGAGCAAGACAAAAAGCTGAAAAAAAAACAATTATAAAACATTATAAAACATTGAAAACATTGAAAAAAGCGCACCCCCACAGCGTCCCGCTCTCTTTTTAAAGCACTTGAGATTTGCTCGGAACATGGGCTGTCCACAACCGTACTTGAAGAAGCGCACAATGGTTTCAGGTAAGCGTCGCCCAAGCCAAGAAGGAAAGATGCCACAAATGCATCCCCCATCCGCAAGAAAAGCTTTGAGGCAAATCCATCGCCCAGACCTCCTAGGCAGATTCACTCGCATGGTATCGCAATCCAAAAAGGTCCATTAGGATCAATCATGCATCCTGCCATGGGCACAAAGGAGCCCACAGCTTTCAGCGCTCGGGCGGGGTTGCGGCAGTCCTTGCTACGCTTCGCAGAGTCAGGCTTCGCTGCACCTATACCATCAACCTGACAATGGCTTCCAAGCTGGTGTCAACCAGGCTACCAGGCGGCCTCGACGCCTCTGTCAATGGGTTTAAACTGCCGTCTGAGTCTTTCAGTGGGTTTCAAAACTGCCATCTGGCACCCTTTCCGGCCGTGCAGAACGGATAGGCTAAGCGTGTGGCGGGCTGGCTGCTTCTACACCTCTGAACCATGGGTTTCGAACCTGCGTCGAGAACACTTTCCATGAGCAGTGCCCACGAAACTCCGTCACAGGTGGTGCGTCACGCTTTGGAGTGCCCGGGGTGCATCAAGGGGCTAAGATGCGCACATGGTCTCGCTTGCCCGTTGAAGAGTTCACACAAGTGTGAGTTGGATTTGTTTCTTTTGATTGCGACGACTTTTTCAAATACCCAGCTCTTATCTTGAAATCCTGGTTTTCCTGGCCACTTGACCACCAGTCCACCTTTTAAAAGGTTCGCAAAGCTTTTAAATGGTAGTACGGCTTGATGCATTGGCACCAAAATTGGGGTCGGCAGCACCCTGGCGTTAGCCCATTCTTTATGTCTTGCTTGCATTGTTGAGCGATGGCTAGACCCAATCATCACTGTATCCATCACTCGCGATAATAGGATTGACTTTCAGTTCTTTTTTGCCAGTTCTGTCTCCACTTCGCAGCAGATGAAGACCAAGGATCCGAAGAGCTCAGACGCGACGCAGGGACCCAATCCTGAAAAGACACGCACACCTCAGCTGATGACCCCTTGCAAGTTGTTCAAAAATACTCATCCTCTCAGGATGATGCAACACAAACCCTTCTCTTGGTTGATGATGTTTGCTTTCAGATAGAACTCCCCTTTTTCCCGAATGCGTAGCGAAGGGTTCTCGTTTAACTCTTGGGGGTCTGGGGGTAGAGCTTTGTTCGCGACCCGTTGCTTCTATGTTCGCAACCGTCCGCAACCGTCCGCAACCGTCCGCAACCGTTCGCAACCGTCCGCAACCGTTCGCAACCGTCCGCAGTAGAGCGCTAAGGCGCTGCCATTGGGGAAGCTTTTGCAAGTGACTTTTCATGGATGTGTCACGTGTCAGTTTGCACCGCTATTCCATTGTGATTTGCATGAAAATGAGATGTGGCGCAAGAAACGTGATGCCTTTCGCTGCGCAGGCGCAGCGTTTTGTGAGATCTGCAGATTGCTGCGCAGTTCCATTGGGATTAGCGTTTGGCGAGCGAGTCGTGTTTTTGGGGTGTTGGATGTGGCCGTGCCATTGGGATTTGCGTTGCAGGGTGTGGCATCGAAGCTCTGTTTTCGTGACAAGTCTCAGCTGAAATGCCGATTTTGGTGGATGGGAGTGTGCTCAGAACGGGTCGAAATCATTGCAAACGTGTGGTGTGGTGCAAATTTTGTTGAGGCTCACATGAGATGATATTGTCACTTTTCGTGGCAGGCGCAGTATACTTTGTGTGGCTTTTGAGGTGTGGAAGCGCGAGTCTTGTGGCAGGCGCAGGGAATCGTGAGGTTGCGAGGTGTGACGGAGGTGA